TATATATATGCACATATAAATTACATATATATGTGTATACCCATATATATATATATATATATGTATATTATATGTGAGGATTAAACAAACATACAAATATTAATCCGTTTGACTGGTAAGAAAATCCCCGTTTCCGCTGCTGCTGCAGGAGCAGCAGCAACAGTGCGGCTGAGGCAGTTTGTGTTATTATTCAAACAAACTCTTCTCTAAAAACATCAGCGAGACAATCAGCACACCGCCGCTGCTGATTTGCCAGCGCTGGGGTTGCATGCATTAGGGGCAAAGAGAAGGTCTCCTTATAATAAGGTTCTTCATCCCCTGGTTTTGCGGAGCAGCAAATGCTGCTGCTGCTGTTGCTGCTGCTGCTGCTGCTGCAGTAGCAGTAGCAGCAACAAAACCTGCAGCTGCAGCAGCAGGAAGAACAACAAAGGCACCTGCAGCAGCAGCAACAGAGGCTACGCCGTTGCAGGAAGCCGCTGAACTGTGCTCGTTCACACGCTGCTGTAAAATGATGGGTTGTAGCAGCTAGTAGGAGCAGCAGGAGCAGCAGCATCTGCTGCTGCTCCTGCTGCTGCTACTGCCGTTGCTGCTGCTGCTGCTGCTGCTGCTGCTGTAGCAGCATGTATGTATTGCGTTGTTCGGTTTACTCAAAGCCGTGCGGGGGAGGCATCCCCGTATATGCACTTGGTATAGTGCTGGTAGAAGAACTAGCAGGCTCTTCCTCTTCAAGAAGCTGCAGCACTTTCAGAGCTGCCCAGAGGCCAAATATGAATTGTGCAATACGAGCAAAGACACCCACTAAGAAGAACGAAACGAGCATAACAGCAGCAAAAACAAGAATTTTGAAGATCCCAGGCTTCTTGAAGAAGTTAATAAACACCTGCAACAACGAACTCCTCGCCTTCTGTTGCAAACCCTTCCCCTCTATATCCATACCAAAATCTAAAATACCACCAGCCTGCCCCTCTACCTCTACGGGTAAATCTCCTAGCGTCAATTGCTGCTGCTGCAGAGGCTGCTGCAGAGGCTGCTGCAGCGGCTGCTGCAGCGGCTGCGTCGCACCGTCCACAAGCTGGAGGCCCTGCAGTGCATCTCCACCAGGAAGAAAAGTACTTCTAGGCTCTGGCTGAGGGGCTAATCGTGCAGTACCAAAAAGAGTTGCATCGCCTAGCAGCGGAGACCCTCGAGACTGTGCGTCATATCCTGAAGAGGAAACTCCTGTACTCCAGGAGCTCCCACTTGAGGTGTAGTTTGAAAGAGTAGCAGTAGAGGCACTAGGGGTTGCTCCTGATGTTGCTGTTGTTGTTAATGGTTGCTGCTGCAGTTCCCAACTCCCCCAATTTCCTGCAGCAGAGACGCATACAGGGAGGAAGAGCAACAGCAAGGTGATGCACACCGACAGCTGTGCGTTCCTATCAATTTTCTTCTTCTCTGACGCCATGGCAGCGCCTTCTCTGTCCTACTATTAAGCCCTAATGCCCCAATATTAATGCCGTCTTCCTTGAGAGCGTAGAAGAAACAATGGCCTCCGCTCTCGCTGGGCGCGTGCTGGCATAGGCACTGCAGTAAGTCAGCAGAGAGGCATTGAGCGAACTCTTCCTATCACTTTGCCAATCTTAAATACGATATAAAATAAAGCAAAAAGCAAGCATAAAGCCCTCAGTCTCACAGAGGTGACGCTAGGCTGCTGCAACCACCATCGAAAAACCTGCGTGGAGGGCCCCCAAAGCTTCAACAGTTGACTATTATGGAATCAACAGCAAAGGGACAGCTAAAAAAGAGGAAAAGAAAGCATTAAAGGCACACTTCGATGGATCAAACGGAAAAAGAAAGATGAGAAGCAACCACCATGTTGTTGTACATAAACAAACAACGGATCGAGTTGTAGCTTCCCAATATCCTGCATTCACGAAGCAACCCCAACCCATGTAGAGGGCAGCAAAGTGCCCGTTTTTTAGCTAAATTTACTTAAAACCTTTTTATTTATATTTATTTCACCTCCTCATTTTAAATGAAATGCTAAAATACTCAATGCGCAGGCGAGACCAACTCTGCAGCAACAAACCTCCCTTAATCGCGCTCCAGCAGAACGGGTTGACTGGAGCCGCACCAGTCATGCATAAGAGCGATGAGGCACATCACTATGCATTCAATTGCATTTGAATGCCTTTACTATGGGAAAATTATATACTTTCTGAGGTTTAAATGCTCTTCAGGGCTCCTACTCGCCTGCCTATATCCTCGGGCGGCCGCTAGGGAGGCCATGTACGGCTCGACGGTTTTTAGTCGTTTTGTTCCGCTTCATTGCAAGACAGAGGAAGAAGAAGAAGAATTCAAAGAGGGAGAAAAGTCCCATAAACCCTCAGCTAGGGCACCTCTCCACTTATAAACCAAAGAATAAATGCAGCACTGCCTGCGTGGTTACGTTCCTACGTATAATTTGTACAGTATATATCCATAATTGCATGCATTCGGGCCAGTGAAGGCCGATAGTAGATTTTTACATATAATTCCCAGCAGTGGTAATGCATGCGGGTTTGCCTTGCAGCAGGTGCTACGCAAAGAACCGCTGCAACGCATGTTAAGGACATCCGCTTCCCTGAGCATCATAATCGACCCTTTTGCTAATGTACCCAGGACGCCTGAGACTAGAGGGGAGTTTTGTTAATTATTCTTCGTAAGACTTCCCAGTCTGTCGCAGCTCATATGGGTGATAGAGAAGGAGGCATTGTTTTAGGGTCTAATGCGGGCTGGATTGACTCCATACAAAGTACAAATTAAAAAGACAAGAAAAAAACAAGTTCAAATCATACACGTTATTATTCTACCACTTCTGATCCATTCCCCCTTGCTGGTTGCTGTCGCTGTGCTACTGGTTTGCCTCCAACGAATTTCTAAACAGACACATACGTATAATATATATATATATATATATATATATATATATTATATGCATATATTGGTCTTAGTGTTTACAAATACACTATATTGTATATTTAGTCAGGGTTTACATATACTCTATATATATGTGTATACTATTATAGGTATATTCTCAACCTAGAGGACGTGGGGAGTAGGTGTGTTCTGCACATCCACTCTATGTCTTGGCGCTGGCTCTTCTCGCTGCTTTACGTCTTTGTCTCAAATCCTTTCGCATTTGTTCCAACTCTTCTACTGGGGTATAATCCCTTTTGCTGAATGCGGGCAGCAGCTGAGGAGTGACCTGAAGATAGAATAGACACATAAGAAAGAAGAGCCCATACAACAGAAAGAACTCGAATAAAGAAATAAGTCAGTGAAAAACCATGTCAATGAAACAAGTCGACAAAAACAAACGAATATGGCGGCAAAAATAAATGCCAATAGGAAACAAGTCAATAAAGAGGAATACGTCGATTTAGGAAAAGCACAGAAACGCAGTGCAGATGCATACAATTAAATTGAGGTCTGTTCTAATGAAGCTGAAATAAAACAAATAAAATTTAGAGAATCACCTGGATGCCCATTGCCTTGGCGGAGCCGATAAGGGAACGGCAAATGCCTTGGAGAGAAACACCAATAAGAGGCCAATCCATGCATTTGCACTTGGCTATATGATATATCTGCATGCAAAAAGAAGAAAGGAACAGGAATATGTCAGCACCAAACAATATTAAAATAGGTGATGCTGCTGATTAGCCCCCCTCATGCTGGCCAGGTAACATAACATGCGAATAGTAAGATAGTTAGACAGAAATATACGAAAACACTTCCGCTGTTTACCTCCTTTAAAGTCACATTCCCTACGATTTCTTTTCCTGCATTTTCACTACCCATTGGACACCTCGCCACTCGTAGCAGAAACCAAGTGCTGCTGGGTGTACGAAGGCTGAATTTGAACGTCCTGAACACACGCATACGCAGCAGATATGCATTACTTATTATTTAATTATTGTTTATATATGTATTTGCGCGGTTAAGCACTAAGTATTTACTTTAGTCAGCCCCTGCTCAGATGCATTCAGATGCATCAAACGACAGGAAAGAGAAAGCAAACGGGCAACGCTGCACCGAACGAGACAATCTAATAACGCACCTGTCAGGATTGGGAACAATCGTCACCTGTACAGGAACTCCAGGCCGTATTTTAGAAGTCCTCGCGTTGAATTCCTTGCAAAACGCCATCATGTTGATGCCTGCATGCAAACAGCATCACAACTCACTAGGATACAACTACGGATGAAGAGAGAAGAGAGTAGCTGATAGATGATCCTGAAGCAGTTGAAAGCATAAAGTTGGGAGTTTAAGCTATGAAAAATGAAAAAGAGGAGTATGCGCCACTGACGAACCCAGAGGGCCGAGCGTTTGCCCAATTGAGGGTGAAGGTTTAGCATTGGCTGCCGGAACAATCAACCGAAACCTCCCCAAGTTGTTCATTGCTACATCAGCGCTCTCTTTGTCTTTACAGCGCGAGAACTGCAGAAGTGTTCACGATGCTGTCGACGAGAAGAGGTGTGGCGAGACTTGCGAAACTGGGGAGGCAAAAAGAATTTACTGAACTTCCACAGCGCAAAACGGTGTAATGCCAGCTTTGCTTGTCAACTGGATGGTCACCAGGAGATAATGAGGACAAATGAACCACAAGGTCGTGAAGATCTGATATTTCTCCTGCTTTCACTTCCCTCGCCAAACAAACAGCAGAAGACGGGCAGTGGCGAGGCGGCTGATGGACTAGCGTTGGTAGTCCATGCAAGCAGGTTGAGAGAATTAAGGGGAAAATGAATAAAATATGAGGGAAAAAGAGTTTATCTTCTTCATTTGTTAGTACCTCTACTGTCAACAACTACGCAGACGTTTCAGTCCATCTTGCATGCAGTACGGAGGCTGCGAGTGAAACTTGTGCTGGGGGGACAGAAAGTGGAAATATAAGTTGATTTGAAGTATTATTTTCTAATTCCTGTTTCATGAGCATCGATCTTCTTCATTCTTATTGAAATTCCCGTGCTTTCTTTGCATCGCCAGCGGCAGTGGCGGCCAGTGTCGTGTCATGGAGCTTCCACGGCTGACTGCGGGAACCTGATTCAAAAAGGATCAGTAATTAGGTCTTTGTTTCTTTGCTTTTAACCGACGCCACGTGAAGAAGCCCTCGGAGTAGCAGCAGCGCAGATCACCACCACACGCCGGCAAGATGGCGGACCGTAAGGTTCTTGTCAAGTATTACCCGCCTGATTTCGACTTTGACAAATTACAGGCGAAGAAGAAGGCGCTTCGAATTCACCAGCAGCAACTAAAAAGACGCAGAGGAGATGTCTTCGATCCGCCACAGAAAAAACACAGAAACAAAATCATGAACGTTCGCATGATGTACCCCTTTACACTCAAATGCGGAACTTGCAGCGAATTCGTCTATGTCGGCACAAAATTCAACTCCAGAGTCGAGAAAGTGGAGGTAATTTTTATGCCATGCACGACAAAATGAGAACGAGCTCATCAGTTATTAATGTTTCAGAGAATTGCTTCATAATCATTCGACGGTTTATTATTACTCAGTGAATGGCGCATAGTAACTATTTAAATGATTTAGTTCAGCACCTTTCGCGCTGTTAAACACGCATTGTAGCTCCGCACATTATCCGTCATCTTTTCTTCGTCTTTCGTCTTTTGGTGGATTGCGTGTCAGCCGCTGTGCCTGCAACTCTGGGGTTTTGCACACATGTACATGCATATATACGTGTGGATCGTTGCTGCAATAGGAATGCATGCAGTATATATAATCTGTAGTATATATACTACGCATACTGCCTTCACGCGTTTTTGCACATTTGAAGAGATACACTGTAGGAGTATGTGGGCATATTTTCCCTTTTTTGTTGGGTCTGTTCTTCGTTTACTTCTTTTGCTTTCTTGTTTGCTTCGTTTGCTTTTTCCCTTAGTTAGTTTGTTTTCATTTGTTTGTTGTGGCTGCACATTTGTTCCTACTTTCTGTTAGCTTTGTCTTTAGTTTGAATCAATGTTTTGTTTCTTTTTGTTTCAAACGGATCTCAGGGAGAAGATTACTTGGGAATAATCAAATGGAGGTTCTACGGACGATGCCCGCATTGTCGAGCTGAAATTTGTTTTAAGACGGGTCAGGGGCTTTTCTTCATTTAGTTTATCTTCCCTCTGGTTCTATATTAATAAACAAGTTTCTTTCTGCTGCAGCTTGATTAATGTATTCACTCCCCTTTATTGTAGTGTATTTCTTCGTTCTCCTTTTAGCTTAGTTCCTTTCGGGTTGTTGCTCGTTCAGTGCATTCCTTTTTTTTCAGTTTATTTTCCCCCCTTTTAGTTTGGATTCGCCTCGTTCCCCCCAACATCTCATTTCTTTCGTCCAGCTGCTTGTTTTTCTTTATTGCCGTTTTTCTGGCCTTTTATTTGCATTTTATTTTCTTTTCAGATCCGCAAAACTGCGATTATGTCTTGGAATGGGGCGGCACGAGGATGTGCGACCCGCTGCGTGATCAGGCGTTGGCTGAGGAGCGCATGCAGAAGGAAGAGGTAAGTTCTTTAGTAATTATTGTTCATATTATTAGTATCAATAATAGTATTAATCAGCTTGTTATTGTTCTACTATATTCTGCTGCCTGGAGTCTTGGAGCATATTCATCGCTTCACCAGCTATTCTTTTCAATAATATATTGTTTCTTCCTATTCTATGCATTGAACAGTATTCACTACAGTACTTTTGTGGCTCTAGTCAGTCATTCCTCATTTTCACAGCATTTCGGCTTCCCGGTGTATCTCCATCTGGCGTTTGCCTCTCCCGTTCGTTGTTAATTCGGTTGCTGTTTTTTCTGCTGTTTGCTTCCAGGAGGAGAAGTTGGCGACGGATCGCGTCTCGCAGGTAGAGGCCTCACGTCAGGGTCTACAGCAGGAGATATTAGCGCTGGAGCAGCTCGCGGAGCTGCGGCGTTTGAACCGGCGCCTGCTGGATAAGACGGCGGCTTCTGATGCCGCGTTGGCTTTTCTTAAAGAGCGACGCATAAAGGAAGATGGAGAAGACGATGCAGCGACACAAGAATGGACTGAAATCGAGAAAAATGAACTGACATTCTTCAAAGCAGCCAGAGAATTCGACTCAGACCCTCGTAAGACAAACAGAAAGCCGTCATGGTGCCTCTCTTCATTGCGATTTAGAGTTCCTTTGTGCGTGTATTTAACTGTAGTTCACTTGTATGGATTGATATTTATTCCCTTTTCTTATGAAGGTAGGGGCAGCTGTACACTTTGTAGCATTGCCCAGCAAAACAGACAGCCTGTCCTCTTACCATCGTTTGCGTGGGCCGGTACGACATTTGTCTTCCCTTTTTTTGTTTTTTCTTCGCACTGCAGAATCCTCAGAAGAGGAAATAGAGGAAAGAAAGGATCACCAGGCTGCTGAGGGAGAGACGCCAGCAGGAGCAACCAGCAACTCATCGAGCAGCAGCAGCAGCAGCAGTAGCAGTAGCAGCAGCAGCAGCAGCAGTAGCAGTAGCAGCAGCAGCAGCCGCAGTAGCAGCAGCGGCAGTGGCAGCAGCAGCAGCAGCAGCGACCATGTGGATAGAAGAGCGAGCATCAGCAGCTCAAGCACTACCAGCACAAACAGATCATCGAACAGCGGTGGGAGTGTGGTTGATGGAGCGAGTAGTAGTGGCTACAGTTCTCGTGGGGGTCTTTCTTCAGGGGGGTTAGGGAGTTTAAACCCTTTTGAAAGCAAAAGTAAACCCCTAGACTTTGGATTGGGGGTTCGCGTTTCAGCGCCGAAACTGCTGGTTGTTAAAAAGCCGCAGCCCGAGCCCTCAGGCGATTGTTCATCGCTGTTAGGGGATTACAACTCCTCTAGTGGGGAAGAAGGAGAGGGTTGAGGTAACTCCTTTGTTTTTTCTCCTATTTATTTCTTTTTTTCAGAATGCTTACAGCTCGCGATGGCGCATGAATCGATTATTATTTATGATTACAATATCTTTTCCTGTGAATGCCAACTTGGTTGACTGTCTCAATTGTTGGACTGTATAATATATATATATATATATATACACCATATAACAACTGTTCAAAGGACGCACAACAGAAGTCGAAGGGTGCGAATGAAGAAGAATTATCCAAATGGTGCTAACGACACTAACTATGAAGTTGGGTTACGGAGTCTTGTCTCACTCAATTGGATGTACAGCCGGTCTTTAGGTGATTTTAGTAGATACTTTTAAACAAATTCCTCTTCTTTGCTGCTAAATGCTGCGCGAGGGGGCACAGCGTTTATTTATACTAAAAAAGAGAAGTGTTTGGATTTGAGATCGGTTTAAAACTATTTATTATTGAGATATTTGTCTTACACAAAAAGGAAGGAAGGAAAAGAAAACAAACACATTAACAACAAAGCCGGAGCGCTGTTGCCTCCATCGCTCCTGCTCCCGCTGCTAGTGCTGTTTTTCTTGTTGCATAGTGAAGCACTGCAGCTGATCTGGCAGGCATCTGTAAAAAGCCATAATTAACAACCAAAGTAAAACAAATAACACAAAGTTTATTACAACTTTCAACTCTACACCCTCTCCTGCAGCAGGCCGATACAGCTGGGGGCCTCAACCCGTCGGCGGCGCTGTTCTCTGGGGCCCCATTGTTATGACCTCTTTATTTCATTTCGTGAGAAGCATCAGTAATTGAATTCGTCGTTTATTTTCATTTATGCTACTTGTATCGAGTTCAATTCGCCCGGCACAAACGCAGCAGCAACAGCAACAGCAACTGCAGCAGTATTGGCCCTTCGGCCCCACAGCATCCCAGACGCTGGGAGTGTAAGCTCTTCCCTCTCTACTTATCTCCTTATATTTTATCTCTCTTTACTTCCTCTGACCCTCTCAGGTGCCTCATTTTGACGGTTGAGGCGGCCGCAGCAGCAGCAGCTGCTGCTGCCCCGTATTGCTGTTGCCGTGTCTTCCCGCAGCAGCAGCAACAACAACAACAACTGCAGCAACTGCTGCTCTGGCAGCAGCAGCACGTTACTGGAGAGCCGGCAGTATGCATCTGCTGTCTCGATTCTTCCTGTCTTCTCTACGAACTCCCGAAATTAGGAGCTGAGGCCTGCAAGGCCTCAGCTGTATGTACAGTATAGTAAGGACGCCGCACCCTCCTGCCAAAGCAGCCATGCGGGCAGTGTGGGGCCCCACATCCGTCGCCCCCTCCAGGCTTCTCCTGCTGCTACTGTTTTGCTGCAAGGGACAGCCCCGCAGGTTTCTTCTTGCAGAGAGCAGCAGCAGCAGCGACGGGGCCTCCGGTGTCTGCACCCCTGAGCACAAGAGTGCCATAGAAAAGCGGAAAGAGAGACGTGGTCGTATACCACTAGTGTCTTCGCTGCTGCCGCTGCTGTTATTGCTACTGCTGCTGCAGTTGCTGCTATGCTGCTGCAACACAGTAGAGGGAAGGCTAGCTCTGGGAGGAAGGGCCCCTCAGGCCCCACCTACTCTGGGGCCCCCTCAGCCGCGTGCATCTTTGCTGCGGTTTCCGCTGTCTTCTCCTTCACCGTCCAGTCTCATTCGTCGTCTTGATGCTGCACGAGGCAGCAAAGAGGCTCCAACAGCAGCAGCAGCAGCAGCAGCAGATAACAGGCCTTGCTTTGTCCTCTTCAACGGAGACGCGACAGAACTCGACCCCGAGGCCCTCCTAGCCCCTCACAAGGCAGCAGCAACGACAGCAGCAACAGCAGCAGCAGCAGCAGACTCTGCTGCAGCAGCCGCGCAATCGTCTTTCCGTGTCTTCTCCTTTTGGCATAACGCAGGGGCCCCCTCGGGCCCTCCACTGCAGCAGACTCCCGATGGTGCTTCTGCCTCTATCCCCTCTAGCAAGAGCACCGAGCACACTTCCCCAATAGTATCAGCAACAGCAACAGCAGCAAAAGCAGCAGCAGCAGCAGCAGAGGAAACACCAGTTGTGCTGCACCTGCCCGCGGTGCCTGGGGGATGGAGCTGTCAAACAGACGCAGAGGCCCTGGAGAGAAGTGCAGTAGCTGGGGCTGCTGTTGCATGCGGCGATTTGCTGCTGCTGCCGCTCTCTTTAGGGGCTCTGGAAGGCCCCTGGTCGTTGCTGCCGCAGCAGCAGCCTCTGCCTCTCCTCTTCTCCGCGCTGCAGCTGCAGCTGCAGCTGCGCTCGCTGCAGCAGCAGCAGGGCTCACCTCCCCAGTCTCTCTCCGTCGCAGCAGCAGCAAACCGAACGAAGCCTCTGGTGGTGCTGGTCAATGACCCCGTCTATGCAAACCCCACATCCCCAAGAACTGGAAGTGAAGGCGCAGCAGCAGCAGCAGAAGCAGCAGCAGCAGAAGCAAAAGCAGAGGCGCTACGCCTCACCGTTGCGCGTGCAGTCCTTCGCGTTTTAGAAACCGAATGGAGGGCAGTCGCCCTCGAGCTAGGCATGAGCGAACCAGCAGCGCAGCAGCAGCAGCAGCAGCAACAGCAACAGCAGCAACAGCAACAGCAGCAACAGCAGCAGCAGAAGGAGCTTATGCCTGCTCTGCGAGATTTGTTTTCTGTGCATGTTGTTTTTCTATCAAGATCAAAGAGGACTAAGTTGCCCTCGCCGCCTTCGCTGACTGCACTGGGAGCGACGGAAGCAGCAGAGCTGCAGCAGCGCCTCAACTCGCTGCTGTCTGTACACCGCACGAGAGACAAGGAAAGTACAGTGCAAAGTGGCCAACCTCAGCAGCAGCAGCAGCAGCAGCAGCAGCAGCATGGGGAGCAACGGGGGCTTGGTGCTGCAGTTGGAGAGAGATCAGGAGGCAGCAGCAACAGCGCGTTGCTGTTGCTTGACGATGCTGCTGCAGCCTGTCGGGCTCTACTTGCTGTGCCGGAGGGTTCTCTGTCTTCTTCACGTTCTCCTGTGCCCGCGGAAACATCTGCAGCAGCAGCAGCAACAACTGCAGCAGCAACTGCAGCAGCAGCAGCAGAGGCAGGAACGCTTAGCGCTGCTGCAGCACTGGAGTTTGATGCTGAAATGTACAGAAGGGAACTCCTCGCCAAGTGAGAGGCCTGCCTACACCTGCATGCACACACACAGACATGCATATATACAAATGCACATGTATGTATGGATATACATATATATATATATATGCGGAGGTAGATATAATATGCATACACACCTGCATATGTATGCATATGAATGTGTATATATCTACGTGCATATGTGCATGTATATGCATGTATACATGTATATACATATACATGTACATATCTACATCTATGCACCCAGTAATACACACGAATGTGCATATATATATATATATATATATATATGTAACATATATATAGGCTACGCATGCATATACAGTTGTACTTGCCGACGCCCACAAAATATGTAGACGAGGAGACACGCGTGGGGCAAGCGTTTAAACATGGAGGTGACGGGGTGTACGTACTCCTCAGCAGTTGTATGTTGTTACCTGATAAATAAATTCTTGCTTTTCTATGCGCCGCTGCCGCTGTTGCGGCTCCAACTCCCTCCGGTCCGATTGCTGCTGCAACTGCTGCTGCTACTGCTGCTGCGATTGCTGCTACTGTTGCTGCTACTGCAACTGCTGCTGCTCTTTTGCTGAAGGTTCCGGTCAGAGCTGGGGGAGGCAGATGGCCCTAAAGAGGGTTTGGAGTTGCTGGGGCGTTTGTTGGAGGAGTTCGACAGAAAATGCAAATTGAGCGCAAGGCAAAATGCAGCGGCGAGGGGAATAAGAAAAGAAGAAGAGGAAGCTGATGCAGCAGCAGCAAAGAAGGCTGTCGCAGAAACCAGAAAAGCCTTTGAAAATGAAGCTATTAAAGGTAAACGATAAAGCCACGCAGGAGGGCTTATGAGAGGACCTCTGTTGTCTTTCTTTTTGTCTCCCTTCGTGCATTGGTTCTTCTGCTGCTGGCTGTCCGCATCTTGTGCTTTCTTTGTCTTGGGTTTCTTTGACTGGCTGTTTGTATTCTTCTTGACCCCTTTTTGATTGTTGTTTTCGTTTGCTTCATCTGTTCTTCCAGATTGTCTCTGTTCGTCTCTGTGGCATGTGTGCCGCTCTTTCACAGTCTCTGTCTTTCCTTTGTTAGTTTGTCTATATCTCTTTTTTTTCTTTTCTTATTCTTGTTGTTGTGGCTGCGAGCATCTGAGGCATTTTGTTCGAGGTGTATTGCTCACCAGCCGCAGTTTAATACGTTCTATGGAATCATGTGCGTGTGCCTTATTCTGTCTTGCTTCGTTCTATTTGTGTACGTGCATTTATATATATTTACTCTTTTTATTGTTGTATAGTGGGTTCGTATATATTATGCTGCATGCGGTGGCTACAGAGCTTCGCACGCTGCACCGCCTGCAGCTGGAGGCCCTCCGTCTGCTGTCTGCACGGCGTTTCGAGTTGCTGCTGCAGCAACTCCTTGCCGGCAAAGCAGGCCCGCAGCAGCAGCAGCAACAACACCCCAATCTCTACGAGCTCACCAAGTGAGTTCTTGTGAACAAAAATATATAACACAAGTGCGCGCAGTGCTCACGACGAATTTTGACGAGTCTTCAGTACAGCGTCTATCCACCCCAAATGAAGCAGCATAATATAGAACAAAATATATGCTATTTTGCCTACCATTACTTAGCATGATATTGTGTTGTTTCTCGCTCTGTTGTGTACGTGTTGGCATGTGGGGCATGCAGCCGCGTCTCCAGCGCAGTGCTGCAGACGGCAAATAATTTGCAGCAATTCATTCGCGACCATCATACTACGATGGGCCCAGATGCGACAAGAAAGCTGCTTCTGGAAGACCCAGAAAGCGCAATGCAGCACCAGCAGCAGCAGCAGGGGCAGCAGCGGGGGCGGCACCAGCACGAAGCAGCAGCTGCGCGGGAGTTGTTGGGGGCTGTGGAGCGTCTTGCTGCTGAAGAGCGTCGCCTGCTGCTGAAGTCTCTGCGGGAAATTGCTGCTGTTGCGCTGCAGCAGCAAGAGCTGCTGGAGCTGCAGCAGCAGCGCCAGGCAGGCCTGGGCCCCTTACAGCGTCTTCAAAGGAAAGCTATGAACCGATTCCTAGCGACTGCTCCTGGGCGGGCGGCGTTGGGGGGTGTGCGGCGGCTAAACAGTGCAGCAGCAGCAACAGCAGCAGCAGCAGCAGCTCATATAGGACAGCTGCCGCTGCTGCATCAGTTGCTGCAGTCCCCTTTAGCGGCCTGGTGGAGACAGCGAAAGCCCATTGATATTTCTTTTCATTATTTGAGTCCAACGGCCTTTGGCTTGTCTCCCGTACGGTGCGTAGGCGGCATCTCAGTGCGCACCCTAAATAAAAAATAATATAAAATAATATAATATAATATAGCATAATATAATATAATATTATATTATATTATATAATTAATATAATATAATATGATATAATATAATTAATATAATATAGTATAATATAAGTAATATGATTTAATATAATTAATATAATATAATATTATATAATATAATATAATATAATATAATGTAATGTAATGTAATGTAATATAATAAAATATAATATAATGCAATATAATGTGATATAATAACCGACTACATAATGAAATGTGGTAATTATATATTCTAGTATAATATTTTGCAGTATAATAATTAGAAAATTCGATGTAATACAAGTAAATATTATGAATATATATACATAATATTCATTAGCCATGTGCATGTATACACTTAGGTATCTACTGTGAATGTATATACTACGGCACATGTCACTGTAAATAGTCTGTCTACACCAATGCAGCTGCATAATCACATCAGCCTGCAAAAGTGTGTACTTGCATGCGCACATAAATGCGTGTGCATATACATATATATATATGTATATATATATTTATATTTGTACATACAGATATATCTATACGTATGTATGCATGTATATGCATATATATATATATATGTATTTATATATATCTACATGTACGTATGTGAATAAATACGTATGCATATGTACAAGCTCGCACTACAGGCCCGGGGCAAGGAGTGTCGTCCTAGCGGCTGCCTGTTTCTTTTGCTGCTGTTTTGACGGGAGCAACTACTTGTTTCTTTTTTGTTTGTATTGTAGGAATACAGTGACGCTGAATGAGCCCTGGAGAGGCAAGCTGCATGTGCAGCCGCTTGCCAGCTGGACAGACACTGAACTCTTGCCTCATGAAAAGCTGTGAGATAACCAGATAAATCGAATGCACAGAAGACTAGAACAGCTTCACTCCGGTTTTCTGTTGCGAGCTAAACTCTAAATCCTAAGCTCTTAAGGCTGCCTCAAAGCCCGTATACTTTATAATCTTTGTTACGGCCAGCAGCCTGGGCCTGCTACTTGGCGTGCATCTAGGGTTTTTGCATGTTGTGCATTCGGGTTAGTGTTTCGGGTTTAGGGTTTGAGTGCGTGTTGACTTCAGGCTGCCCCCTGTCGCGTCTGCAGCAGACCTTCGCCGGCTGAAGGAGGACCTTGCGATGAATCCGCCGGAGACCGGCTAAAGCCCAGCGTTGTGTTTTATACCGCTTTTCATGAGGTGTACATTCAGAGGGCCCGCAAAACCCCTCTCAGATTCACTCATCAGTTTAAAGATGTTCAGAAAAGTTGTTGTTGCAAACAGACGGCGGGCTGAGGTCGGCGTTGGTGGGAGGTGGGCTCAGTTGTTTTTCTTACGTAATTTTTAACTCTTTCTCGTCAATTAGGTGGCGAAGATGCCGCGCTGAGAACTTCGGGTTCCGGTTTGAACGCCTTCGAGTGAGGAGGATGCGCGCAGTTTGTGGGGTCTAGGGTCTAGGGTTTGTGGTTTAGGGTTCCTTGCGCTGCAACTTGGCCTGCAATCTGCATTGTGTAGCCGTGCCATTCGGCATGGAAAGCAGGGAAACTCTCTTACATGCCTTCTTTTGAACTTAACCTCTAAAGTCTACAATCTTATCTCGCATTGTTTTGCACAGTCTAATCTAGTGACTATGGTAATAGCAGACTCTGGCAACGGTAACATGGATAATTTTTGTTGTCAGTATAGTCATTTATTTGGACTTACACTTTTGTTGCAGTAGGTTGTCTTGCGTCTTTGGGTATAAGTCGGTTTAGCTCTACTACTGGTGGTAAACCTGTCTCATCACTAATACAAGGAAACGTATCATGATTGTAGTGGAGTTGCTGCGTTTTCATTAATCTAGCTAGTGGGGAAAGCGAAAAAGCAGATACTGGACCCATTTAAAATACTGACTGAAGTGGGATTCGAACCCACGCCCGCGAGGACTGCGGCCTGAACGCAGCGCCTTAGACCACTCGGCCATCCAGCCGTCTGTCACCTTGATTTTGCGTTCCGTGATTCATTCGCACAAGTGAATGACAAAATTCCTGCAGCAAGAGTAGTTTTCTTTTCTATTTGCTCACTTCGTTTATTAAACTGAAGCGCAATAAGGAAGACCGTGTTGTGTGTTTATTCGTTGTTATGGTTTGCTCTTACCGCCCCCCCTCCCACACACACACAAACAGGAAGACGTGTAAGATTCAGAAATGCGCAGCGAAAAAGTTCTAATGAAACATGGGAAGAATAATTCAAAAGAAAACAGGAAGAGTGACTGAAGTGGGATTCGAACCCACGCCCGCGAGGACTGCGGCCTGAACGCAGCGCCTTAGACCACTCGGCCATCCAGCCGATCGCCTGAGCTTGTCTTAATGCGGACATTGGAATTAGGCGTCCCAAATAGGATTCAGAAATGCCTAACACTCCTAGGAAAGTCCAACTGCTTTTTATAAGGTTTGCATTACCAGCACTTCACACGCCTTGTGTAGTAGTGGTTCTTGTGGTCTTTAGCCTGTTTGCGCACGTCGTCTTGTCAATTTTTATGGCTGATTGTTTTGCTTTGACACAGTATCTGGACGTTGAGTAATATTTTGCACTAGGTCTATCTGCTATCGGCAAGTAAAGAATAACGAAGCATAACGAAAAAAGAGAGCTCCTTTTGTCGCAATGCGTAAGTGCAGTCTGCTGTTCTGCAACGACATAATTCAGACACTGGTGTTGAAACAGTAGGAAAATCTTACTTCATGTGTTTCGTTCCCTAGGAAAAAACTAAATATGGCTCCGAGGAATATCCCTTAAGCAGCATTTAGTACCAATAAAGTTCAACACCAAGCGTATTTGGTCACCACTACCCAGCACCTCCCATTACACAGGCGTGTGGAGTTCCTATCGACAGTACTCTTGCCAGAACGAAATATTAATATTCTAAATTCTTGCCCTTCTCAGGTGAAGTCCGAGAGATAATCTGGCTCTAGCATTTCGTTGTGCTTGCGCTTCGAGGAGTTTTTTGAGTGACTTGAGGCGGGTGATGGCTTCTGGCCTATCAACTAACAGTTGGCCTATGATCCATCTTCACGTACGTTGTGTGGTGCTCGTCCCTCTTCCCTCGTCATCTACTAAAAGCTATTGTTGTGTGGAGAGAGAGGTGCTACACCGATTTCTCTCAGCATCACTGCTTCATGCATTTCCCCTGCTTTGACCACCACCTATTCGTTGCCCAGACTCACACAAATTTGCTGACAGCTGCGCCAAAGTAGATATTGCAGTGCTTTCGGAACCTCCTCGCCGCTCCTCCCCAAGCACAGATATTCGCAGACAAGGGCAACTCTGAAACGCCCGGCGGCCAGTACTGTGCCCCCTGCCACTATCTGAGTACTGAATAGCATATCCAGTGCAACAATACCGAGAGTCAGGCTGGTCCGCCGCTATAAAGGTGCGCATTAAGTGACTGAAGTGGGATTCGAACCCACGCCCGCGAGGACTGCGGCCTGAACGCAGCGCCTTAGACCACTCGGCCATCCAGCCGGGAGCTCCGCGCGAGCTGTTCGGTCGCAACACGTAGTTTGCAACTTCCCACTTTTCCGTACATATATAGCTACACGGTGCTGCTCTTCAAATCGGTATTTCAATGGATGCGGGCGGGGCCTGCGGTGACTCCATCTCTACTGGCTTTTTGAGATAGTGTATTCGTGCGCGGGCTGCTTCTCTTAAGTCAGCAGCAACAACGAAGCACGGCTACGCCTAAGGAGATGCTCAGTATATCAAAGCCACTTGAAATGCATGTGCATGCACTCAAACATCAGTATTAGTCAGCAAGAGCTCGAGAAAGAATGTCTTCCCAAGCCGCTAGCCGCAAAGGAGCCGTCAAAGGAAAGAGGCGCAGCTGAGGCGACAGAGCTTCTAGGGGGTAAATGCAAATGCTCCTTAGAGAGCTGTGCGACAGCCACTGCTCAGCTGCAGCTCTGCCTCTCCCGCTGATGTCTGAGAAGGATCTACGCCTGTACGCCTTTTTACTGCTTCGGGCTTTTAAGTACTGCCCGAGAAAGTGTTCCGCCGCTCCCACACGCATTGCTGCAGCGAGATATATATTGCTCGGGTTGTACATGCAAAAAGCAGCGTATACGAGAGGATGCACCTGCAGACAGGCATCCGTGCCAGGACTGCGGATCCGCTGCTGCAGCGGAAGCAACTTCTCCATGTACACACACTTAGCTTGTTGCTCCTGTGCACCTTGGATGCGCTCATGCAGCAGCTGTAGCTGCATGCCGAAGGCCTGCGGGGTGCGCAGTAGTGCGTCATAGCGGCTCTGCAGCAGCAGTTGGTCGCACTTCCCCCCGCCCTGAGAGACTTCGTCGCCAGGCGAGGGAAATCTAAGGCCTTCAGCGGATCCCTGAGGTTGCACCACTTCAGGATCTGTAGAGGCACTGTCACCTGCACTCTCTGCTAACGTGCCGCCACCTTCTTCCTGCGTGAAGGCTAAGCCCCCTGACTGCCCGTCTCTGCATGTTCGCTGCTGAAGATCGGACAGGAAGTGAGGGAGGGCTTCTGCGAACGAAGCCAAAGAAATGCGTAACACGCGTAGCTGGGACTGCGGAGAGCAGGCCGTCGCGTCGGCTACAGGGCTCCTCAGGCCCGTAACAAGAGGCTGAAATGGTGAGGGGCGGATCTTCGGATGCAGTGATGGATGCAGAAGCCGATCTACTATTCTTCTGGATGCTAGAGCTCTGGTGTGTTGCGCCCTCCTGCCTTCAACATCCTCCTGAGCAACGGGTGCCGCACCGCCGGCCGCTTCACGAACTTCTCGAAGTTTACATCCTCCACACCATGTCGGGAAATAGCTATAAAACCCGTGAAATTGAAACGCTGCAGGGAAACTCGGCGGCTGTTTCAGCTGAGTGCAAGGAAGCAACTGCTTCATTCCCCTTCGTCACTTGCGCGCGGTAATAAGTGTAAAACCAGACCCGCAGAAATGAAAGAAGCACGCAATTCCATGGGGCCCGAATGCACGATGGCATAAGTTGAATGATCCTAGAAACATTCAACCCGTCAAAAGCAGCTGCTTTCTTTCAGGGCGGCACCAGTTACCTGATGCAAAATATCAATCACTATGTTACATGGCATACCCTGCGCGGTCGTGCTTCTCCTGCAGAAGAAGACGGCTTTCGAAACACCTCCTGTTCACGGTGTTACTTTGTAAATGTTCAGTTCAGTGGACACGCAAGATGCAGACACACAACAGCTAACCGTGAACCTGCTCACAAGATGGAAGTCCACAGATTCCAGAGGGCCGCATTGAGCCCTACTCCCGAAGGAAAGTGAATTGTTGGAAGTTTACAAATGCTGTAGAAATGATGGATATATTAATTGTGTTCGCTTGTGAAAATTGCAACGATCGACTCTTTTTCTGCATGCGGCTTCGGCGGGGCTGCGGCACATTCTCGTCGAGCGCCTCCACGCCTGCCCGTCGCTGGCAGTCCATCATATTCCTAAATGGAAGCTTCTGTAGGGTTTTGAACAAAGTCAGGTATTATCAAAGACATTGCAGTGTCAGGGTGCAGCCTCGGGCTGAGCTGCCACCGCGTCGCCGAGCAAGAGCCAGTGGCTCTCCATCGAGGTCCAGCGACACGGCGACTGCAAGGAGAGCTGCTCGACCCAGTGTAGAAACGCTGGGAACGAACGCTATCGAACGAACGCTGGGAACAGAGTATTGTACTTGATGTTTTTTTTTCAGTTTGCCGCCTATCACCCTCTCTGCTGCAGAGAGAAGGACGGTAGTGGCCAGCCACTAACTACCCAACTCCGCGAGACAGAGCGCTCTGCGAAAACCTCCGTTGGACTCTGGAGTGTAACTACACTTCCTTCAACATAGCGTGGTTGCTTTGCGTGTGAGTGTCTCGGGATGCCAGTGGTATAGTGTCAGGAGGTCTTGAGCATGCGGTTAAGACGAACATTACGACCGAACGGACCCGGAGAAGAACCCATCAGCGGTTGGACCGAACACTTCTTGGACCATCACTCGCTCAGTCCATGGGGAACCGCCTGCACCGTATAGTCAACAACGATGGTAAGGCGAAGCGAAGAAAGCCGGAGAGCCGTCTCTCCAGGAATGCATCAGCGTGTATGTGCTACGGCTTCAGCGGGCCATCGAGGTATAACAGTGAATATTAAAAGTGTCCTCAGTAGCAACAATTGCGCCGGGAAGCTGTGGCTTTGAGCCTGCAATGTCGCAACCCCAGCACTGAGACATCCGCCATTATTTGCTGAGCGCCCCTGCGTTGGTGTGTGGAAGTTCGTCTCTGTTTAAGGGGGGTTCTTCTGCGTGAGAATTTAGAGTCCTTGCACGTCATATGACGCCTTGGGGAGCCCAGCCTGGATTTGCAACAAGTGGGAAGTGCGGTTTTGCGTGCGCTTTTTGAAAGGAGGACTATTTTCCTTCCGTACGGGCGGTCCCCATGACGGTTCCCTGTGGGCAAACTCAAATCGCCGCCCCCCAGCTCCGGAGAGGCCTCCCCCTATTGAAGATGCATCAGAGGCGCTTCTGCCCCAAGTGAGTCTCAGTGCGGTACCGTAGAGGAACACCGCTGGAATGGGGCTCCGAGCGGTTCTCATCTACGTTGTATGCATTTGGGTGCAGTGCGCATTGGTTGAAGAGAAGGGCAGCAAAGCAGCGTGGAGAGGACGAAATGCGGACAGTGTGGTTTGGCAACCTGCGTGTGCTTTAGCTGCTCTGCTGCTGCCCGTCTGTTGCTTTTTTCCCTTTAGGGAGATGCAGTTTCGCAAGACTGGCGTTGGCTTGCTTTGAGGTGCGAACGGCGTCTTAACGCGTCGATGCAACAACGGTCGGTCAAGCATGACAAGATCGCCGACACACTTGGTGAGTCGCCGGCTGCTAATTTCCTCACTTCCGTAGTTGCCATCTGCCGTTTTGAAGGGAGGCGGTTCGAACCCTGGGGGTGGCTGCATTGTATGGTTACAGTTAAAGCGACATTGTTTGCTTCTTCTTTTCTGTACGCGAAGGCAACTCACTGGATGTGAAGCAGTTCTCCTGCTTCGTGCCTAGGACTGTGCTGGAGGCCATTGCGGACAAACGCATCAGGTCGGCCCTAACGACCTGCCACGGCCTTGGGGGGGAACGGCTGATTGGAGTGTATCTACACCTGAATTCGAGATGGGGTCTTAAGGGTGCAGCGTTTTAACAGCTTGAAACCCTGGAGCAAGGCGCAGTTGGTGACGGGCTGTGTGCATTGCTGCAGGTACTCGGATGACTTCGACGTGCAAGTTGAAACATTCACGGCTGCAGTCGTAAGCCTTTCACTAGTCGTAGTCTATTGACTATTGTAGGTTTGTTTGTTGCCCGTTGATGCCTGTAGTTGTGCGGGTTGAGGAAGAGCTCCCCGGTGCTGAGTTCTCAGCAGGCTGCGACCGAGACACCAGTAGGGTGCCAGCTGCCCCAGCGACTGCACTCTGCCATGCGTTTGTAATGTGCTCATGCTTGCTACTGTACGCCTTGACTGCAGGTATTCTGCGATGCAAGTGGTTTCACAGCTCTCACGGAAGCTTTAGACACCCAGCCTAATGGAGCGGAGCGACTTGGCGGTGTGAGTCGAGCTTCTTGCTCTGCCGCGTGAAGTGACCCTACCGATAGACAGACGTTCACGCAGATATTTTTGTTTTTACCTGCATGAAAGACGGTGGATGCTGCTGCCTGAGTCTATCGTTGAGAGCTATGGCGAGGTGTGTACCCTTCAGATCATTAATCAGTTTTTTGACAAGATCATTCGCATTGTCCACTTCTGGGGAGGGGATATTATTAAATTCAGCGGCGACGCTCTGACAGTTGTATGGCCCGTAGATGACGAGGAGGAAGAGGATCGCCGTGAGGCTGCCACAGTTGCATCTGTATAGGTTTCAGGACAAATGCATAGGTTTTGAATTGTTTCAACAGCTTACAGATGGACTAGGTGTGGGACCCAGCTACTACTGCTTCGTCATTAGACATGTTTGTGTACGATTTGTTTCGTTTGCTTGTTTTGAGGCGATGAGCCTGACGGCCAGGACGATAGTGAATACCGCGTTGACGCGCGACAGGCTTGCTTGTTGGCGGCGAAGTGCTGCATGAACCTTCACCAGTCCTTACACAAATACCCGACGGGATTTGCTGGGAAGACGCTGACTCTCCACATTGGTGCTGGCTTTGGGAAGGTCACTATTCTGCAGGTCAGCAGCTTAGATGGCTTCAGTGCAGCCGTTATTCGCGCAGCTTCTTCTTAGCACTTACCGAATTTTTTAAATGGGTACTTTTGAAGCAGTACCCACTAAGGGAGCCACGCACGCCTGGACGGCTGAACTCGTGTCTGTTCGTACTTGCGATAGCAGCATCGTTTATTTGCAGGATCAACTTTTGAGCCCAGTGGGGACTGCTGTAGAGATGAGTCTGTGAATGGAACGGCGTGTCAGTTGGCGCCTGCTTCACGCTAAGCTGTTAGGAGGTTGGAACTTGTAATCGTTTTGCGTTTCTGAGAATGATCAGGTTGGGGGTATTATGGATCGATGGGAGTATGTGGTGGCAGGAGCACCGTTGGAAGAAATATCAATAGCGGAGCCACTAGCCAGCACAGGCAAGTTTGCCCTGCCAAACCGGCCAACCCTTTCTTTCCCCACTCATATTCTCCCGTGTCCCAGGAACCAGAGCATGTATTCTATGTCGATATTTCAAGGGGAGGCATTGCTTGTCTGTTCGGGTGTGCTGCGCTCCAGGCGAGACAGTCGTTTCACCAACGATGGCGGATGCAATGCACGGCGTTGCTACGCTGGAACCCGTGAAGGACTCCCCCCCTGGGAGGCAGTTTTACCGTCTGTTACCTCATGCTGATGACTTAGTGAAGATCGCCCATGAGCGGCGGCAGGGCAGCCATGTCGGTGCAGAAGAACAGGCACCAAACGGCCACGCAGAAGAGGAGGAATTGGAGAGAATTCACAAGATTGCCGACTGGAAGGTCGACCCTCCGCCTCCTCTAGCTCCTATAGAGGTAGACGCAGACGATGTTGACCTTCTTCGCAGGTAAGCTGGTTTCCATCACTTTCCTGCCCTGCATGCTTGCTTTTCACATCAGTGGCCAACGCGCCCGAGACCCGAAACCCTCTACCGGAACGGAGAGTTGGGCTTGATAACTTGGGCCACTGGATGGTGGGTCGCAGGTACATCCCCCCGGCGGTCTTCAGACGACTGAAGTCGGGCTGTAACGTGTTCCTGAACGAACTAAGGACGGTGAGACTTGTACTTGCACCTTGCCTCGCGTACGAAATGCAAAACATCATAATTAACGATGCTTAAGATCATTTCAGGCCCGTGTTCTCAGGTGTCGGTGATGTTCATTTGCGTGCGGGGACTGGACGTTTCGTCCGCAACTGGGAGCCAGGTTGCCCACAGGCTCATGAAGATGACCCAGAAGGCAGCGTATACCATGGTATGTTCCTTGGCGGTTATTGAAGCTAGCAGCCGAAATTCAGCGTGCGAGGTCTGCCTTTTCACGTGAGGCGTCGCCGTTGGAGCCGTTGGGAGCTGTTATTGTTGCTTCTGTTACGCCTGCCTACAGGAAGGATCTGTGAATAAGTTTCTTGTGGACGACAAGGGGGTCTTGCTGCTCGTAATGTTCGGATTGCCGCCGGTATACCACCTCGACGACCCGGTTCGAGGTGCGTACCGTAGGTGCGAGATGCCAAACCATACGTATGGTAACAATACCATAGCCTGCGAGTTGTGTGTTTTTGCGAGCTGACAGAAATGTTCGTGGCCTGCTGCTCCTTTTGCTGTGTGTGCCTCGCACTATCTTTCAGCCATCATGGCGGGGCTGCGTGTGATTGACGGCATGAAGATGTTTGGACTTGACGCTGGAATTGGCATCACCAGCGGCCGAGTCTGGTGTGGGGTACGCAAACCCGATAGTAGTCCCGCAAATAGAAGCTGAGTTGGCCTGGCGGAGAGGCGCCACAGCACCAAGACGCATTTCGGCGTTGTGGTTGGCCTTCAGACTGTTGGAAACGACTTGCGGAAGGAATACACTGCGTTGGGGGACTTCGTCAACCTCGCGGCGAGGCTCATGGCAAAGGCGGGTCCCCGCGAAATATATGTGGATGCGTAAGGCAATGCAAGCACAGGAAGCGTTTAGAAAAGCACCAGCATGCATACAGCTGGATAGCCCTTACAGAATTGTCCGGACGAAGGCAGCAGCTAATCGACTAGCGAGTGATATGTGGAGGCGCGGTGGTTGCGGTGTTTGTGCACATCAGCAACACACACCGCTCGGCGCAGCATGCCATGGAGTTCAAACAGCTTCCGAGCATGAAGGTAAAGGGCAAGGAGCATCCCATCGATGTATTCATGCCGACCGGAGTGCTCATTAGCAAAGTGCAGACCGGCCCAGAACTGGTATGTCGTTTCCATCCGCCTGGGTGGCACTGCTGGTGCCTGCCTCTGTATGAAAACCAACCTGAGGAAGAGTGAAGCGAGTAGAATTCACATGTGAAACCTTACGGGTAGCGGAATCTTCCGTAATTTGGTTCCTTCTTCCAGACATTGAGGATTGGAGGCTGCACAGCGAGTTCTGTTTATGTCAGGGACCCCTTCTGTCTTGGCCAGGGTGGCCATGCCGCAACCAGCTCCAAAGTATTCTAGAGCCGTCTACAATGTATAAGAAGCAAGGGAAGGCCGTACGGCCTCCCTTGGACTACCCAGTACCTTGTGGGCCTGTCTTCGCCCATGAATGGTGAGACTTGCAGTCGGTAGTACCCAAAAGAGTCGTCATATGCACGAAGCAGCAGGGTATTGCTCAACTGACGGCGTGCTGCGTTGGCGAATGAAAGCTATGTGTAAAACCATTTGGCATGTGATGGCTCAGGTATGAGCCGTACATGCCCCAGCTGCAACCTTTGTTGGAAGTCGGGGGGGTGATGGTCATCAAGGGGAGGGAAGGCCTAGGCGCGAAGGAGCTAGAAGATTATATTCGTGATTTTGGTGGGGAGAAGTAAAGTACTTCGCATGAGGGGAGGGGCGGCCGACAGAGCTTCACAATTTGCCTCACAAATACACTTGTGCATGTGGGCAGGCTAAACAAAACCTTGTGCTGCTTTCCCAAGTTCTGTGTTTCTCTGGCAGGTTCTAAGAAGTCAAATCGCCAGATGTTTTGCATCAGCAACATGCCGGATTCCCCCAATCTCAACATCGGCAACGTTCCTCTACTCGCTTGGAGGAAACTCTGCACAGAGATGGTCGAAGTAGGTGTTTGAAACGCTTAGTTACCTTGTCACACCGACCATAATTGGGGAGACGCTAGGAGCGATATGCCTTGAGAGAGATGTTATCTTTACGTTTGGTGAGCGTGCCGTTTTGGGTGTACCTGCACAGCGTTGGCGCGTCAGTGACAACCGGGAGAAGAAGGGTTATTCGCGCATTGACCGAGACAACTCAGTCTACGGCCTTACAAAGGAACTCATACACCCGTCTTTCCACTGGTATTTCCAAGTTAATCGTATTTTTGGAGCTTGAATTTCACTTGGTCTACTCTGGCTTGACTTTCCGCGGGATGGCCAAAATGTTTGCCGGTTTGTCTTACAGGCGGTTGGAAGAGATGAAGACTGTCGTGCACGGCTTAGTCCTGCCCCACGAGTTACCTGAAAACAGGCGCCTCGCGAAAGAGCGCCGGAAATGTATGAAACGCCTCCGCAAGCAGGTGAACATTGGAGATCTTGAAAAATCTCTGCACAATGTGATATGCACCAGTGTGGTCATGTTTCCTGAGGATATTCCACGCTCATTGGCAGCCCACGTGCCGGTAGACAGGGGCTTTTGGAAAGATAGACCAATGCATTTTATTTTGCCTCGCTTATTTCACACTCGGAGATTAGCGTTTCGTTGCGCTGCAGGGATATGTCCCCATGTCGCCGACTATGGCGCTGCTGCACAGGCCTGCTGAGTGGGTGGGACAAGCAGGGCGTCGGATCACCCCTTTGCACGCATTGGTTAAGAGTACTGGCGTGGGCTTGGGCCTGGCTGGGTCCGATTCAGGCAGGTCTTTGCCAATTTCGCTCCTCCCCAAATTTAGATTTTATTTGGGGTCTTTTTCTGTTGCAACAGGGCAAATTGTACCAGGGCTGTAGCAAGCCAATGCACTTGAGGGAATGTCGCCCCGGTCCATAAACCAGCTCAGTACCTCAGAGTGCCACAGAAGTATCTTCACGGCTGAGTGAACGGCGTAGTCTCACCAGGGTCTTTGGGGACCAACACAACAATAATTGCCAATGTGCCCCAGAGAGTGATCTGCTGCTTCCGCAGATGACAGCCAAACCTCTGATAGTGAAGGATCTACTCCACGGTACTTACACGAGGTGAGTGCTTGCGGTTAACTCCGAGTCTTCTTTGCTCTGTGGTGTGGAGATTGCCCGTTAGGCCGTTCCAGTTCTTACTGGTAGTGTTCCCGTATGTCTTCTTGCTGCGCGAATTGCTGTATTTGCAGCCCAGCGGGGAGTCGATTGCCCCAATAATAGCGTCGCTTGTCAACGGGTTTTCTCTCTTCGAAAGCTCTATCGTAGTACTACACGTTCGCACGGGCACAAGTGTGTTTGCTGAGGTGTGTCCGCCTTTGGCGTACGGGGAACAAGTGGGAGGTTACGAGTGGGCTCTTACGCTTAGCCTACCCGGCCCTGCATTGGCATTGGGGCTGTTCCTGTTTGTAGGGAGATGTGTTGTTTGTGATGTTGCTGTTACTTCGGTTGGCGTAGATGGACCGTGACAGCTGGAAGGTGGCTCGCCTCGTGGCACGGGTCTCTCTTGTGCGTCGTCAACACCGACTGGATGATGACATGCGGAACTTAAAGGAGTGGCGGTGCAAGCATTCGCGCAAATGTTGGTGGTGTACGTATGCGGAACCTGCAGTTGCCATAGGCCCATGGAACCTCCTTGCGGTTTCTAATGCATCCACAAAAGCAAAGGGCTTATTTGCTTTCGTTCCCTGAATCTTAGGCCCTGCACAGTTTTTATTTTGCCCAGTAGCCTTCAGTTTTCCAGCCTTGCCACTTCAGAGGTTCGATCAGGTGCGTTTCGTCAAGAAGGATCTATACGCGGCGGCTAGAGCCGGTGCTGGATGGTGGAGTGCTTCCCTGTGCGCCGTGCAGGCAAAGGCTATCGCACTGCCACCGTGGTGGACAGTAGCGGGAAGGTGAACCCCGTGCAGTCCACTAGTCTATGCAAGCCTCTTCCCTCGCAGTTCTACCAGCCATTGCTTTTCGTCCTCATATGCAGGTGAGTCAGCTTTTATGCCTGTTTTTCTGTAATAGTTAAGGTAGCATCTGCGCATCGTATTAATTGTTCCATGCTTTGAGGACCATTTGCAATTGCTTGTATGCAATGCGCAGTGACACCACTGACAATGTTCCCGAGCAGCAGCAGCTTGTGCAGATGGCAAAGGACAACAACGCGTACATTGAGCTGCGTAAGCGAAGTAGAGGAATGGACACCTAGTAGTTCTACCTTTTTAGGACGAGCTTTGTGACTGAATCGGGATTTGAAACAGTGGTGTTTTGGGTCTGAAGTTGACTGTAAGCAAACCTGCTGCGGGCGCACTTCTGGTGCCCACAGGCAAGCTTACTGAGGATGAGACGGCTAGCTTCTTGGCCCACTGCCTGCACATCAACCGCAAGTACTTGCCTGCCGAGTTCGTGCATTATGTGCATCGTGTATCATCAGGTGAACTTCGCACGTGAAAGGATGCATTTTCAGTGGGGATAGGCCAGAACCATGACTGCCTGTTATTGTCTTGCTGTTTCCTTGGGGCACGCCTGGGTGGAGGCTGGGTACTCGTGTGTTGTTCACGTGTTGTTTGTTTGACTTTACCTTCGTGTTGGCCTCTACAGTTGCTGTGGTGCTCAGGGATTCCCAAGTACATTTTCCTAACAGCGAAGCAACTGGTGAAGGATGGGCACGTTGTACTAAAGGAACGCAAAAGGAAGCCCCGCGGGGCCGACGAGCTCTTGAGAGAAAACACGCGCAACTTCGAGCTGCGCTACCGACGGCTGCTGCTGCAGCGCATGGGCAAGGAGTACCAGGACATCCAACAAGAATACGACACCCCAAGGGAGAAGAGCAATCTCGTGTCTCAAGGGGCTCTTCAGGAGGCTTTGCAGGACCCGCCGCCATCCGAGGATTCCAGCGATGAAGACGATACAGAGGTTCGCTTTGTGGATGATGAAGTCATTGTGGCTGTCATTGGGCTGCTTAAGACTCTGAATAAGCAGCGAATGGATTTAGGCTTGGAACCGGACGAGGTCTTCATCCCCCCTTCCTCTGCGGATGCTGATCAGTGAGCAATGAAAAATTGGACGCTCTCTGCTTCACAGTTATTTTCTCTATGCATTGAAATGGGGCTATGACTTTGCCTTGCAAAACGCACAAAGCGCTACCTGCGCCCCCGTAGTCGGGTGCAACGGTTTCACGTGTTCGACTGTAGACATCTGTTTTTTTGTGTTTTGGGGCATGCAGAGCGGACTGGAAGAACCAGGCTCAATACGACGTGTTGTCGCCGTCGTGCAGGCCTCCAGATGCAGCGGCACTGGAGCTCATGCCTCCTCCAGCTTCTTCTCTGCTGAGTGCTGTAGCTTTCTCTGTGGAAGAAGACGCTGATGGGGAGCCAGTGCGCTCACCATTTTACTTAGCTGAGTGCTTCCGGCGGCGACTGTTGGACTGGAGCCCAAAGGAATCGTCTAAGGCGAATGAGCGGGACAGGTTCGACTCCCGGGATTCAACAGCTACCAACGACGAGCCGCAGCTAGCTAGACGCTTTACTTCACGACGACGCGGACGGGCTAGCGGGTTTGGAGGGACCTCTGTGCACTGCCGCGTGGGATTGCAGGAGCAGCTGGCGCAGGAGGACAGGCGAAGGATCCGTCGGGGCAAGCTGACGGATGCTGAGTTCGCTCTTCTTTGCTTTAGACCCTCATGGATGCCGCTGGACTTCGAGGACCTCGCGGCTTTGCGCAGAAGCCGCCGCAGACGGGTGGCGCAAGCGAAAAACTTGGAGTGGGACAGCGACGCAGACGAGCCCATTGTGAAGCAGGGAGACACAGAAGACGGAGGATGGGGAATAAAGCGTTACAGTGAAGCACGGGTTGTCTCGGACTTGAACTCCTTACCTTTTGTTCCCCAACTCGTTGCAGATTGCATGTTCACAGTTGAGCGCCTTATGCCGGAAGAGCAGATGATGGCGAAAGTGGCTTCGGTGTTTCCCATAGCCTTCAGACCATCTGAACTACGCATGGCTTACCCAAGACGTATGCTGTCTAAAGACTTCTACAACCTTGTCCACCAACTCATAGTAAAGGATGTGCTAGAGGTCTGTAACCCCGCTTCGCAAGAAGAGCAAAAAGCGCTCAGTCACTTCCTTGGAGCTCCTGCACCCAAAACGGCTGTGCAGAGCACGGCCACCAGAGTGACGGTTACTCCCCCAGATGCAGCAGACGGATCGGCCCATGGCAAGTCTGCAACTTTGCTGGATGTGCCAGGAGGCGGGGCTGGTGCGCAAACAGTACACAGCACAGCCTTAGAGCACACACCTTTTCCAGGGCTCGGCCCGGGGCATGAGCGCCGCCCCAGCGTTATGAAGGCAGGAGGCATTGTGACGCCAGCGAAGGTTGCAGCTGCCGATAGCGAGAAGGGTTCGCAAGACCAAGATCATTCAGCAGCCGACTCTTCGAAGAAGCAGTATCAAAATACTTTTGAGGCAGACCTAGCTGCAGGCCAAGCAGCAGGCGAAGCCTGGACAACGGTTCTTGCAACTCCAGAAGGAAAGGAGGTGCACATCCGTTTTACAAGTATAGCGCTGCAGAGAGTAAGTGGCCGCTCCACCATGCAGCTGAACCTTCCCTAGGCGTGTTTATATTTGCGTGTCAAACCCAGATTGCTTGGGTGCTTGTGCTGCAAGCGAATTTATGTTTCCGTCTGCATTGTATTCAGGTTGTCTCAGATTTGCTGCTCTCGGACGAACGCATGTGGCTTACCCTCGCTTGCAGGTAAGACCGCTCCGCTTTCAAGAGGCGCTGCGGTGGCTGCAGCCTTGCCCATGCTGCCTCTTGAACTATCGTGTGTATACTGAGGGCACGACAGTACGAGTGCAGGCCTCACCCAGGAGCAGAGCGTATTCATTTGAACCAGTTTGTTCACGGGTTCCTGTGGAAGGCGTGCTCTCGATGCGTCTGCTCTGTGGCCTTATGTTTAGTCGTGCGCTGGCCCGAAGATTCGCTACCCCTACTGACTCAAAAAGAAGTGGAAAGGAGTCCAAGAACTCTGTCACAGGAGCCGCGGCGGGTAGTGGGGCTCCTTTGTACGAAGGTGAGCAAGAGATTCAGTGGCTCCAAATGGCGGAGGTTGGCCAACGGCATGCTGAGCTGCAATTCCCTGTCATTGAGTCTGCTCTGGTGCTTCACTTCGCTCTTTGTTTATCGGACTTGCGGTGTGAATTCATTCATCTGTTCTGCTGAAGCATTTTGTCGGTGCTTTGGTTTTTTTTTGCTGTGCAAACCATCTGCAGCGCCTGAGGCCGATGTCGCCATTCCCGCGTCCCTGCTGCAGGGTGTTCTGGAGGCGGAGAGAAATCAGCAGATGCGCACAGGTGGACAGACCTTGAAGCTGCCAGTTATGAACCCATCAGAGGCTCAGCGGGAGGGCGCAGAATTAGCTGACAATCCACCAGCAGCCTCCGTTGAAGCGGCAGAGAGCGCCGAACGCGCAGATGACAGAGCGCCCGAGAGTAACTTACACGAGGAATTGAAAGAGACATCTGTTTAATGAACCCTAAGGATGTTTTTATGTTCGAACCTTACGGCAGCTTTCCCTCATTTCAAGAGCGCTTCCTGCTGGACAGTCGTTTTTGCGTGATATTTAACGATTAAATTGGTCAGCGTGACCGGGAACCCACAAGAGCACAAGGCACCCTGAGAACACACCGATGCACAACGGATGTTACGTAGTCAATTGAAGCCCATCCTTTTGCATAGTATTTGGAAGGGGAGATATTGCGGGTTGGTTCACGGTTCAGATATTCTGCTGAAGTTTGCCTTACTGACAGCACTCTAGGGGACCCGTGCATGCATTTGTGGTTTTATCGCTTTTGGAGAAATAAATGTAGACAAGCAGTATAGATCCCGCCAGTGGTGGGATACGGTAGAGGAACCTTTGCAGGCTATGACCCTAACTGTCCCACAGTGAAGCGGTTGGGAGGCTGTGCTCCGTTACTGCATGCCGGCGTTCATCAAAAAGTGGTACACGGCGACGACCCTCTAAAGATATAGTAAAAGGATACCTCCCTTGGCTATCCTTCGAAGCATTTTACAGCACCACGTGCTGTTCAGGTGTCCTCTGGTCATAAGTAAAATGTGTTTTTTTTACGTAGAGCCGCCTATATATCTTAGCAGGTTGAGGTCTTAACTATGGCGCTGTGTGGCTCGCCGACCCTTTAGCAGAGGTTAGTAGTTGCAGTTTGTAGAGGTAGCCCCCCCATCAGGAGCATTTGGAGACCTACGATAGAGGTATGGAGTCATGCAGTGAGATTGGGGTGTCGTTTTACAACGAGTCGGCGTTCTTAGGCATCCGGTGTAACTTAGCAGTGGAGGGTCCATTCGAATGTGTTATATGCATCTGGGGCCCGTATTTACTATAGGGGAACAGTGAAGACTATCAGAATTGTTTGGAGAGGCCTCAGGAGCCGTCGACGCTTCACGTACACTCCTGAGGACCGTGAGCATTCGAGGCCATGGCGCTTTTCTGCCTTTCCTCCCCTCCTTCTCCACTTTTCTTGAGGCGTCCTATACTGCAGAAGCAGACGAATGCACCAGTCATAGCAAACAAATGCATCACGCAAGGCCTAACGGAGTTTATTACTACGATATGCTCCACACTAGTTCTCCTTTGGCACGTACGAGCAGATGGTGGCCTTCAGGAGTTGTACGAGGTTGAGGACTAGCACCCAGCTTGTCCAGCCTCGATGGAGATGTTGCATTTATGATCAAGTAAATAATGGTCATTTTGTTGATCTAGAAGTGTTGGGGGAAAACGCTTCCGATTTCCTTCCTTCCGCATCCCACACTATTGCCGCCAGTACAGCACGGACTGTTGTCAGCGATGTGCGTTGGCAAACGCAACTCCATAAGTCCAGGATTAAATTGCATCTACTGAACAATTCAACATATAAATTAGGTGTAGTTGTCTCTAAAGCTTTATCTTCCTAGATTCGCTCTCGGCTCACCGTCGCCCTCCTGGTCAGGCTCGAACGGCTGCGTTCGTCGCCAGGAATGCCACCACATTCTTCGCCGGCATTTTGTAGAGATCTAAACTTTTGGTTTGTACTCATTTATATGTTGCATTTGTTTCTTTAATGCTGTGTCTTGTTATGTGTGTGGGAAGTACCATTCATCCTCGCAGACTCGGCAGGCAGTGAGGCTAACATCGCGAATCGCTGGTTCAGGTTCCCATTTAGCGGGCTTTTTCCGCTCCTCCAGGGCAGCATATTTAAGCGTCCTATGTTCGTCTTAATTAACAGTCAATTTCAATTTGTATTACTGGATCTGATGTGCATTAGGCGGAAGTTCGGCGGCTCGCCATCGGGAGAATCGTGGTCACTCCGGCTTAGTTCCCTCAACGGTCCCTTGAAGGTTTCCCCCCCAACTATGCCCCCAGCTTTGTATTTTGTTTTTCCGTTGTCTCCATAATGTCTTGTAGTAGCTTATACGATCCATCAGTTCGGGCTGAAGTGGCAACCGTCGGCTGGCTATAGGCTCCTCGAGATCACAGCCACTTCCTTCCCCTGCTGTTCACGAGTGGTGTTCACCACAAATCCTGTGGAAGTTGTTTTCCAACAATGGACAGAAATGGAGGAGGTTTCTTCCGTATTGCGCCGCCCGGGATTTCTCGAAATAGGGGTTCGCAGGGGCCGGCGCCTTACCAGTGCACTTCGCCATCGCAGACCACCGTGTGTCCATTGAGTCTGCAGGTGGGCATGGAGTTGGCATTTCTTGCTTCACGAGTCCATAAAGAGAAAGCAGGTAGCTCTCGAAAAGCTCTTCAGCCTGCTCAGCCCGCACAGCACACTTGCCCAGCGGTTGCAGAACCCTTCATGCCGCACGGTGAAGAGTTAGCATTTAATCCTCCCATTAGAGTGCAAGATTGCAATCCGTTTCAACAGCCGCTGAGACCCTTGGAGATCCGGGGGACCAAGGTTCATTTGGATCCGCAGGAGCCCGCAGGTTCTGAGGGACCCTCCTCCTGTGCGTTCGAATTGTCTATGAGGGGAAGACTCTCAGATCTGGTTCTAGAGGGCAGGCTTCAAGGAGCTGCATACGCAATTCTGGAGGTGGACAGCAGTTGGGTCTGGCTGCTTAGCGCTTATGGCTTATACAGCCCCAAGGCGTCCCGTGTGGTCGAGCAACTGTTGCGCAAGGTAAGAGGGCATTCTTTGTGGGCACTTACTGGCGGCAACACTTGCCGTAAAAGCTTTAAATGGAAAGAGCAACTCAGCGTATGGTTCAGAGCTTCCTGTGGTGAGGCTCAGAGGAAGATCCCCAAACACAGCAGTACTGTTTGCACCGTCTTTCCTTTGATTTTTCACCGTAGTGATTTGTTGACATGGAGTTTTCCTCTTTCCTCAGCCGTTTTCTGTTCTGTTATACGCATGCCCCTACTGCAGCCTGCTATGCGGGGCCCACTGTCTTGCCATCACCGGGAAGACCCACATACCTCTCTGAGTGGGGTGTGCCTGGTGTTGCAGGCCATTGAGTCAACCCGACGAGCCCATACGTTGATGGATAAGCTGGAGGTGCTGCCTCCTTCGGTGTTCCTCAGCAGTGTTCTTCTGGAGAAAAGCTCCTAGGGCATCCTTGCTGCGGTACCTGAACTACAGTTTGGGGAGCGTCTCAGCACGTATCAACAAGATGGAGAAACTCCACCTCACAATGGCCTTCCATCCTCGGCGAACTGCAGCAGCAGTCCCCGCAGTAGTAGCTCTGCCGGCGCACAGGAAGCAGAGCCCCTAGCTGGACAGATGAGAACCTCAGAGGACCTCAGCGGCAGTATCATCGAGAACAGCCTCGGTTCATTTTGAAATGCGACAGCTTTTGATGTTCTGGTGGTCAAAATCAAATGACCACAAAGATACTCTGGGAGACAAGACCGAAATCGACACAAAAGACTAGAAAAAGATTAGTGCAAACTCGAAAAAGACCTGAGTACCATAATTCACGTACTATTTATTCATTTGACCGTGTTTTACTGATATGAGTAGGCTCCACGCCTTCTCACCTCTAGCGAAGCTAAGAGCGCGTTTGGATTTATCAGCTCCCTGCAGGGAGGAGACACGAAAAGCAAAGTGAAAATGCAATGAAGTTCTGATGTTGGAGGAATTCACTGTCAGTAGCGGATATACACTCGAATTGTATCAACACATTTTGACACAGCACTGACAGTCCTGCAGGTGCTTCTGTACTTGTTCCATCCAACAAGCAAATCTTTCAGGTGAAGGTTCGCAATATGAAAAAGTAGCCACTTGACATTGGGGCAAACAACATAACAGTGCAAACAAGAAACCAAAACGACCGCCGCATCAACCATATCAGCCAGAACCGCACAAAAGAAAGCACAAATGTGTAAAAAGGAGCACACTCTCACATGCATCAAAAATGTGGTACAGCCACTCATGCACCAGGAGGTTCCTCGCCTACGTCACAGCGAGTCACGAGAAATGATCCCTTTGTTTTAACAAAGAGGCCATCTGTTGGCGAGAGCTGCACGCTTGGGCGGGACAACTCTGAATTTAATATTAGTACAGGCTATTACCAGGAGTACAAGAAAAAAACAAGGAGTTAGACTGGCGCTTTCCCCAAACTTCGGTAGTGTACTACTCTACACGAATTCATTTTCGAAGGCTCCACTCGTCTGAGCTAAGGAATACCACCGTGGGCGAGGCCAACAACAAAAGTGCATCTACCGCACCACTCGGTTTGGAGCACCTCTTGAAGCGCATTCCTGCACGCTTTGTCTTTCTGCCCATCGCCGCAGAAGTCCTCTGCTGCTCCATGCCATAACGAGCTTATTGGGAAGCGGCCACTACTCAGTAGTAGCAGCAGGAATTGGTGTTTAGTCCCGATAGCTTCCTTTGGATTCCAACAATGGGTCCTTCTACACATGCCTTTCGCAGTTTGTGCTGCTTTACTTTCTCTTACTGCCAGTCATTCTGCTCGGAAAATGCAGACCAGCTACGCCACATGAAGAACACTTCCGTCTCTAAAAACCCCAAGACGCCTTCGAGCTCTGCTGCAAGTTTATATATATATATATATATATATATAAGGAAACGAGAAAACTGTGAAGTGCTGCATATCAAGGAGATGCAAATGGAATATTAGCTTATGCGCATTTGTCACATACAGCTGAGTGCACCCCTCAACATAGCGGAGGAAATAAATACGCCTCAAAAGATAACAAGAAGACTAGTCATGGCGTACGAAAGCCAATTAGTAAATTATATTTTGCGCTTAGACCGCGTTGGTGCAGCTTAAAAAGGAAACATCTTCTTTCAGTTGTATAGTGCTGTGCCATGCCTGCTTTCCCTCCCACCCTCAGGCGCAGCGGCAAGACGGCAGACTTCCTTACACTACTTCAAAGCAGCGAGTTCGGCCTATCTAACCCTGCTGTCTTAATCTATGGAGAGTGCGCACAGCTCGTATAGACTGCATCTGTATCCCGCAATACCTGCATTTTCTGTGCAGCAGTGCTGCCCCTCCGCATCCGTAGGCATGCCCCTACTGCGCCTCTGCAGCACCGCAAGCCCCCTGATGAGGCCTCTGTTTCCAGCCATGCCGTTATGCTGTACAACTTCACTGAGTAGTGCAATTACAAAGCGGAGTTCACCCTGGACAGCTGCACACTTGCCACTGTCAGTCCTGCATGGAGCCACAATTCAACAACTTCGGCTGAAGGGGGAGGGAATGCAACCTGTTTGAGGTGGAGGAACCCTAGTAATAGTCCCCCCGCTTAAGAAGCTCTGCTCGTATGGATGCCCGAGGCCTCCACGAACGCAGATCATGGCGAACATCCGCCCTTTCGCACCACTTTTGGGGAAGTGGTGCGAACCTTCCTTCCGAAACGCAGTCGTGCACAGTTGTACGGGCTGTGCCAGAGCTGCATGCCCGCCGGATCAAGCGTAGCTGCAACCGTGCGCGTGCCTGTACGTTACACACTGTCGCTCGACATCCACGCACAGCAAGCAAGAGCTGCAACTGCATCGCATGAGGGTGACAGTCTGCACTCAAGCAGTGCAGCTGTACACTCGTGAGCGACTACGTGTTCTGCGAGTATGCGTTTATGCGTCCACAGAGCTGTGCAACACCCTACCAAGCCGCAAAACCCGGCGTTCAAAATGTAAGCAACTGAAAGCGTCTCGTTCCGTTGCTTTTACCTGACTAACGAATACTAATACATATTCCATAAAGCGGAAGCCTAGTAAGGCGGCGAGGAGTGTAAAGCAGGTCTTCGGTTCTGTTTACCTCGGCACCCGTGTACTTCTCGAGCACCCACCAGAAAGCGCGTGGGAATATTGAAAAATACGTTTCTGTTCGTTGTCTTTAATGAAAACAACGGACTTTTCCCCATTTAGCATGCACAATCTCTGCTGCAGCTGGCAGAAGGTAGAGTCGGCCTCGTTGCATGCGGTGCTCGGCTGCCCAGGTCACGGAAACTGTGAGGCAACAGAGAAAGCTGAAATGGAGTGTTTAGGGATTAAGGCGCTTTCTGTGCCGTAAATACTCTGGGTTTCTGGCGGTTTCGCCCGCTGCTTCACGTAGGCAAGGCGCACCGTCATCAGCCCGTAGTTCAACGGCAAGCACTGCTCTCGCAGTATTGGAAGGCTTTGAAGACGTTTTTGCACAGAACAGCAGATACACCCGCTGTGAGGTGTACGAACAGCTGCCGGCGGCGAGGTTCACTTAGTTGCCACCGCAGCTTTTGCAGCAGCTACAACCAATACTGAAGGCAACAACACCTTCAGTGTAGTTCTGAACGAACAATCTCTCTCCTCCGGAAGTCAGCCTAACACCTGTTGAAGCGTGCATGCATGCGTGTCTGTGTGCCTGCGTGAATGCATGCAGCGGAATTGAACAGTTAACCGCGCGTAGCTAGCTCGGATGGATTTATAGCATCGTCGTATTTTGCAGTGTATGCACACCTGCGCCCTATTCTTTGCTCCTAGTGACCTTGAGTGTTGTACGTACACATTAAAGGCTCATTTGCTGTTGAAGTGTGCTGCTGTTTTCCGCCGTGCTCAGGCTGCAGCTTGCAGCAGCGGCATGGCGTCGGATTGTGTGTGGCGTCGTCCCCGCCCTCGTCTTTTGCAGCAGCTGCCTCTAGGCGAGCCCCAAACCTGCAGGCCCAGCGCGCTCTAAAATGCTGCAAAACTTTCTGCTCTCGGTGGTTCCCTGACCACTTAGGCGGCAAAGATCCGCCCTCCTTACTCTCGAGGGGCGCGCCAGCAAGCGCGCTCCTCGGGGGTTCAAACAGATGCCACTAGCACGCGCTGCCAGGCCCAGCAGCAAAGCAGGACGCAGCTGCCGCCGCCGCAACAATAGCAGCAACAGCAGGAGCCCTGGCCGCAGCAGCAAAGGCAACAGCAGTAGCAGTAACGGCGGAGGCGGCAGCGGCAGCAGCGGCAGCCGTCGCGGAGTGCGGGGCGATAGCAAGAAGGAGGACTCGAAGGCGCAGGCCTGCGAGCGTTATAGGTGCTCTTCTTCAGGTGTATTGGGAGCTGCTCCGCCACCTCCCCAGGGCCGATGGCCGCCTCGTTCATCTCAACCGCGGCCCAGCCGCTGTCTGGATGCGTTACTAAGGGAGAACGTACTGCTGGCGGTGCTGCCTTTCTTAGAAGCAGCAGATGCCACTCGGTTTGGGGCTTGTTGCACCGACTTGCACACAGCCCTGACAACCCCTAGAGTGCAGCCGCTCTGGCGCCGCTGGTTCGAAACCAGCGGCTTCGTCTGGTGGCCATACGGCGGGGCTTGCGGAAGCTCCTGCAGCCTGCAGATAGACAGAGATGGGTTTGTCCTGCAGCAGGAGCGGCAGCAAGGGCAGCAACAGCCGCAGCTGCAACTAATGGGATTAGATTCTCGGCCGGGCACGGGTTACCGCCACTTCAGCCACGAGGGATGGTGCTGTCAGTTTTTGTGGAATGCGCGTTCGCTGCACAATTGGAAGAGTGGCACATGTGCCTTTGCTGCACTGCAAACAGACAGTCATAAACTCTTCATGGTGTCCATACACCCCAAAGGCTTATACGCCTCCAGGGCAGAGGCCATGCCGCTCTCCCCCGTTGCAGCACTGACTCTGCAGCAAACTGTTGAGTCCCCCGCAGCTGATACACCGCGGCACGCCCGCCAATCGCAGCAACGGCAGCAACAGCAGCGACAGGAGGAGCAGGATGACCAGGGATCTCCCACTGCAGCACCGCTGCAGCAACAGGCCGTCCGATCTCCCGCAGCTGAAACACAGCGGCAAACATACCAACACCATAGGCAGCAACAAGAACAGCAGCAACAGCAACTGCAGCAGCAACAGCAACAGCAGCAACAAGACCCGCATCCACAGCCGCAGCAGCAATTGTTGAATAACCTGGATGATGCATCCGCCAGTCGTTTGACAGATTCTGAAGGTTCATTGCAGCCTTCTGTGCACTTTGCGCATGGGGCTGGGAGGTATCTTCGTGCTGCGTTGCATGCGAAACCGGCTGTATTGACGGCAGCAGCGGACAGGGTCGTGTGCATCACTGAGCCTCTCAAGAAGGGCACCATTGCGCCCAGCACCAGCTCACCTTCCAATTCAGACGGGCCACATGGAAGCAGCACCAGCAGCTGCTACCACCGCTCTGGTAAGGGGGCTCCTGCAGTGTCTGTTTCGCCTGTTTCTGCCTACGCTGCTGCAGGCAGCATTTCCTCTCTTGCCTCTCTCGAACTGGAGCTCGAGAGTCTTGTCAGCGGGGGCGGCGGAGGCCGCAGAGGCAGCGGCAGAACGAAGAAGAACGGCGGCTCGCGTCATGCAGCTGCATCAGCAACAGCTGCTGCTTATGCTGCGGGAGTAGGAGGCTCAGGGGAGCCCAGGAGGGCGAGCGGCGACGCAGCAGCAGCAACAGCAGCAGCAGCAGCCGGTGATGTGCGGGAAATATGCCGTTGTTGGCCACGGGGTGCGTGGCTAGGCTGTAGTGTTGATGCAGCTAGCGGCCTCATGGCTTGCAGCCACCGCTCGACAGAGGCAACTAGCAACGCCGGCAGAGGCAGGCGGAAGAAAGGCAACAGTGGGGGCGGGGCGGCGGAGGCTTGCGAATATAAAGTCTTTGATCTGCTGCAAGAAACTGTAAGACAAGTCAAAAGCACTAAGCCTAAACCATAGTCGCGTTGGAGCAGTACGAGCTCGTTCTAGAGGCCTTCCAATCTGCATAGCATGCAGACTTGCGCTACCGTCGTAGTTTGGGCTTGGAGACAAGCGGAATAGGGCTTAGCATTTTGATTTTGGATTGTGTTGGGAACAGGAGTTGGCTCAGTTGGCAATCGAGGGTCAGTTGGTGCACCGCCTAATTCTCAATTTCATTTTCTCGCAAAATCCCTCCCGCGTTTTTGGCTTCGACAGATGGCACAGGTACAGTTTGCTGCTGCTGCAACTCTTGATCCTGCTGTGATTGCTGCTGCTCTCGCCTTTGAATCTGTAGAGGCTACGTAGCATGTTGTTTCTGTGCGCCTTCGTGGAGGGCTTGGCTCTTCATTACGTTTGTCACGCATGTCTTAAGCTGGAGTATATGTGTAGGTTCTGATACGCCTGCGTGGTTTGAAGCAGTGTTATGCATTTCTGTTGCTTTGTTTTCTGTACAAGTTCTTCTGCTGCACACCGCTGTGCAGTGTTTGAGTGACAGCATTGTGCAGCCGGTGCTGTGTGTATCGTTGAACCCTGCGTGTTTAGAATTAAGCTTTAGGGCGTATGGTTCGTAGGTCTGGGGTGTAGGGTTTAGGGTCTTACGGTGTAGGCTTTAGGATTTAGAGTTTGAGCTCTGTTCTGTTTCTTGCGTTGTTGCTTTTAGAGAATTTTTTGTCTGGACGATCTCTAACGCGGTGCCTGGAGAGGCCTTAGAGACCTCGGCAATTGTAAACGCCCACACCGACGGCATTTTGGGGCTCGACGTGACGGAGACGTACAGTTCCTTGAAGGTGCTTTCGGTGAAGATTAGTCGTAATCAAAAAATGGGGACCATATATAGTCATTTTGCATGTTTATTTAAGGGATATGACAACACAGGGCTATTGACTTAGATAGGCCAATAGAAGGCATTTTTTGTTCGACGCCCTCCAGACCGTTGCATCTGTTGCTTTTGAGTTAGCCCTTTTCGTTCGTCTTTAGTTGTGCTGCTTTGTTCGTTTCCTGTTTATTTCTGCGTTTCTCATTATGGCGGTTCTTCGTGCAGGTCCTCTCGGGGAGCCGCGACGAGACGATTAGTTTGTACTCCGTAGACCCTCTCCTTCGCCTTTCCACTTTTTCTGGGTAAGGCAGCATACAACAAAGCGTAGATCACGTGCGTATATATACATCATATATATGTATTTATATGTTCATATGAACTCAAGCGTGCACGCGTACGTGCATATGGGTGTGTGTTCTTTTGAATGCATATTCAGCGGTTTGACTTTGTTTTTTCTTGTGCTTGGATAATTCGTTTATCCTTACATGTGTACGGATGCATGCAGACACCAGGCGGAAGTCTCGGCTGTCTGTTGGCTGCGGAATGGCGAGGCGGCGCCCAGCGGCCAGCAGTGCCGACCAGAGCAAATGGCCCAGGGTGTATATACAGTTGCAGACGCCCCAGGTGTATATACAGCAAAAGGTGCATATACAGATGACGAAATCCAACTCTTCGCATCAGGCGCCTACAATGGCACAATCAAAATTTGGGATGCCAGACAAGCAGACCCAAAAAGCCTTTCAGGTCATTTCCTGCTGCTGCGCCTGCCACTGCTGCTGTGCCTGCTGCTTTTGCTGCAGTTGTCGCCATTTTTCTGCTGCCCATACATTAGAATGAATGCAACCCGAGCTGCTGTTGTTTATGCAGCATTAAGTGCAGCTGCTTGATTTGGCCTGCGATTTCTTGCTGTTGTTGCGTCTGTTGCATCTGCCGTTGCTGGTGTTGCTGCTGCTACATTGGTGCATAGTGTGGTGAAGTGTAGTATGCTTGTGGCAGCGATGTTTCTGTGCAGGCAACGGTTTGACCCTCTTAGAACACCAAAATAGAATAACGAGGCTCGCCACTGCCTGGGACGGCCGAATGCTGCTGTCTGGGGATTCAGAGGGGGTCGTGAAGGCAAGCCGAAATCCCTTTGTGTTGGTTTCGTTCTGTTCGTTCATTCGTTAATTTTGTAATTGTTTTTTTGTGATATTTCCCAAAGTGTTTGGTTGGCCTAGAGCCCGATTTTTCAATGTTTTTCTATGTTGTATGGTCGGTTTGGTTTGCCCCATTTCGTTTCGCTATGTTATCTTTGCTCTGTGCATGTTATTTGCTCGCTTGTTCCTTCGTTAATCCGCCAATTGCATTTACTTAATGCTATTCATATTAATTACGAAGAGATGCAGCGCTGCACAAGCGGTGCACTTGTCCAAAGGGAGGTGCATCCACTTCCTTTTTGTTTGTTTCTTCAGTTGTGGGATTTGAGGAAATGCGCGGATTCCATTTTGACGGCTAAGTACAACGGGGCCATCCTCGACCTCCACGCAAATCGCGCCTTTTGTGTTGTACGTAAAATGTACCACATTTCATGCACCTGCTAGTCGTAATTAAAATGCCATAATAGCGCATTTATATTCTAAAAATAGTAGTATATACTACTACTATTTAAACTTTTTATTACTATTAGTAAATATTATACCATCCAGGAAGCTAGGAGCAGTACGCCAAGTCACACGTGTGTTATGGTCTGTACAGCCAATATGACAGTTCTTCATCGCTCTTCACTACAATTGCTGCTACTCTTGCGTCTGCCCTCAGGTCCGATCTAGCCCTTCCCGCGGCCGCGACACTGTCCACGTGTTGGACTTCTGTGGACGGCCCTCATGAGTTCATTATGTGGGGCTCTGATTACGCATAGTTGCGTGTTTTTTGTAGTGTACGCGTACGTACAACCAATATTTTGGGGGGCTACTGTATGTACATACACCTCAAAATCAGCCTTCTGACAATGAACTGCTCTGCTCCTCTTCACTGAGGACCGAAACAACTGCTTTGAATTGCTTTCTGTAACTACATAGGTGTGGTGCATTTGCCGGCCGTTGGAAATAGGCATTAATAATAAGTTCATGTGTCTAGACAAGTAGAAGGCGTCTACAGACGAAATGGAATGCAACAGTGCGGCTGTTCGTTGCCTTCACAGCAAACAGCCAAATTCGGTTGTCTGGCGCAGTCCCCTCATCATACGGACAACGAGACAGGAGGGTAGCCCTATAGTAGTGTTAATTAATATTTCGGACGATTACAGGTCTGTCCTTCGTCTTAAGTCTGTATTTTTTTTTGTTGATTAGTATGTATGATTAGTAGCTGAATTTACACATTTACTCGGTTTTGTTATATCATCTCCGCTTATTATTTGCGTCCCCATTCAATTCGTCAACTAGTGGACGGCCGTTCTCCTCGAAATCTATTTGAATAGCAAGGCCCCTAAGTGCTTGTTGCTGCTGCCCTCCACAATACCATTTCCCTTCCGCTTGCAAAGGAGGAAAAGAACCGGGAAGGATCTGGGGTGTACATACAGCTGGGACAGCTTGGGGTCCTAGGTGAAATGCTTCGGAATGATCACGACATGCGAGGCAAGTTTTTCTTGGATTCTACTTTGTTCTGTCTATGCCCACAATTCAGTTCAATTACATCTCCCTTCTGTCGAAACGCACAGATATGTGCCGCCCATCCAACAAGTAGTTGTTAAAAGTGTCAATTGCGCTCTGTGCACTTTCCCGGGAAGCGAACAAAACCGTGCCAACGCCTCTTGAACGACCCCCGGGAAGCTCCATAACATCCGCCCTGAAAGAAACAAGTAGAAAGAAAGCTATAAACATGGTATTATTGGTTACTAAGACCGTTGGCTACTACCAACAAAATAGTATGCATGCATGCATCTCATATACCCAAAGCATGCAAGCGCATGTACAACCTCCTCTGCTCGAAGTAGGCAAATAAAAAGTCAACAAGTAAACCCCACTTCGCCTAGACAATCAAGGTCTGGTGAACTGTCCATACACCTCCACTATCTCAAATTCCCTTCCGTTCCTTCAAGAGCTGTCTACTCAAATAGGCAAGGGCCTCTAAAAAGAAACCTTCGCGAAGATTCCTACTCTACTACCGCACACCCCCTCCAGCAGTCACTGACATGCCACCATTCCTAAGCATTTTCCCTGCTGCTGTATTTACTGTTGTTTAGACCCTGAAGTCCCCAACTCCCCCACCACCCTCCTATCCCTACTGCATGCGTTTGTCTGTGAAAGCGGGCTTATAAAGTAATAGTAAGAACGCTAAGGAGGAATAAAACGAAAATCAGAGCCTAGTTTTATGGAGTGGTAAAAACGTGAACAAGAAGGACGCACCTAATCACTTCACCGCATTCCCTAAAGAGGTCCTTGAGATCATGCCAAGACGTCTTCCAAGGCAAGTTGGAAACGAATACTTGACGCCCACCACCGCCCCCACCGCTGCCCCCCTGGTAGCTGCTTCCGGACGCCCCTTGTTGGTTGTTCCCCTGATAGCCGCCTCCCTGGCTGCCTTGATAACCCCCACGGCCCCCAGAGGAGCCCCCGCGGCCGCGGCCCCGTCTGTACGCCCATACCGCGTATCACAAACTCTACACATATAGAGATTGCATATGCTCAAGTGTATACACATCTATCCATAATCTACAGATGTACATATGTATGCCCGCAAATACCATGCGAAAGGGAAAGCAGCAGCTGCCGAAACAGCAGCAACTGATGCTATTCAAGAACAGCTGCACCTCGGATGCTGTGCTGCGACTAACAACGAGGATGCATATGAGGGGGCAACTGGAGCTGCACACCAACTACTTGAGTGTCTGCACTAAACCACGGCTATTTTGGGTGTCTGCATGCATGTACATGATTTTTCCTTACCCTCGCCCCCCCGAGAACTTCCCGCCGCTGCCGCCTCCTTCCTCTCGGTCTTCCCGGACAAATATGGGACGTTCTGAATGCATGCGCACCAGCAACGAAAACATAAACTGCACGCGCCCAATGCATGCGCCCAATGCTTGGCTGCAACTCACCGGCACATACAATATACTATGGGGAATACCTCCGAATACACTGTAGACGAATACAGAGTGTACATGCATACTACGATACAATCCAAGAGACGAGGGTTCATGAATTACCTAGCAGCACAGTGTCAGTGAGTTCCTTGATGGCCCGTTGTGCTGCCTCTTCATTCTTATATACGACTATTCCACACCCTTTGCTTCTTCCCTGGTAATCCTCAAAGACGTCAGCGCGCACAACTTCGCCTGCCTGACTCATGTGCTCCTGCAACTCGGCAGAGCGTACGCCCCAAGCCAAGTTGCCTACATACACACTGCATCCTGTGGCGGGGGCTTCCGGTTGCTGCAGCAACAACAGCAACAGCAGCAGCACATCATAGCTATGAGCGGCGCGCTCTCAGGTCACGCTCTGCAGAAACGCACAGCCAATAGAGCCCCCAGAGAGTTCTTCGTGTACTTAAACTACGCCTCCATCTCCGTAACTACAGCAGGATGAAAGCTGCAGCATGCGCTGCTGCGGGCCCCGGCCCGCTCAAGAGACACGCTGGCCCTATCCCCCGCTTTAGGAAGGCCCCAAAGAGCCAGGAAAGACATCTACGCAGACAAAGGAGAGCGAGTTGAGACGAAATAAAACCTACTTTTTCCTGTTCCTGGCCTTGGAGCGGCGGCCGGGCATCGTCCGCTGGGAGCTGCAAACCGCGCAATACAAGAAACGAGAATTGTTCTGTTGGTGTATTTGTCTTAGCCTAATCCTTAAAAGCACAAATACAGAAAAAATACAGAAGTTGAGGGACAAAAGCCTGCGATCCAGGCCCGACAATGCAGCACAACACCAGCAGCCCCCACAGCTGCAGCAGCACCTTCCCAATGTGGGCCAGGGTACGCCTGCCAGCCTTCTGCTCGCCTTTCAGGAAATAAGCCGAGGTAATACCGGTTGCATAATGCAAAAGATGATCAAGAAAAACACAGCAATGCGACCATCAGAAGAGGTATCACGCGGATACAGACAGCAGCGGTAGCGGAGTGGGGTGAAGACAGCAGCGTGATGGACATACAGCTGGCATTTTCTTCTGTTTGATAGCTGGAGTTGGTCAATTCAATCAATAGTCCTCCTCTTTTTGCCTTCACGACGCCTCAATTTGCGCAATCAACGACCCCAGACCCATTTCATGCACCGTCAGCGCGGGGGAGAGCGAATCGAACTACACCGTGCTGCAGCCCTACGAGCCCTAGGAAGGCTGCCACGCGTCCTCCAGCCCCAAATTACCTCAATTCAACACTCGTATACATTAAATCAAATTCAGAATGCATACAATTTTTTTTTCTAACGGATGAAGGCGCAAAAGACACTACTCCCACACCCACGAAGGGCTGAGAGCACAAGCTCCGCGAAAACGAATGCAAGATCACCTCCCGCACGCGCCAGCCCAATTAACGTCAATAGACTTGTAATTCAGTAAAAGCGCATAGATATTACCCAATTTAACTATTTGTTGAATATTATTCGTTCTTTCAAGACAGTAATCAGCAATAAATTACAACCCTTGCCCACCCACGTGCGACGAGCGCATGCTGGTACCCGAGCCTTCGCATAGTCTGCTCAGCATCAAGTTAGCACGGGAATCTAGATGCCCTCAGGCTGGCTATAGAAGGCCAAGTAGTAAGTCTTTAACAACTGTCTACAGTGTTAGCGCATGTAGTAAAGAGGACTTGGCTTTGGTTGCACGTAAGGCTGCCTTGCAGCATCAGTTGCAGTCTGGCGAGGGCCCGCGATCTTGTTTGGGGACCTTCGTGGGCTGCGACAAGCCAAAAGACTTAAACTAAGAGGTATTAAAAGACAACTAACCTAATCTTCAGTCCCCAGACATCCTAGACACAAAACCAGGAGCACCTGCGAGTCAGAGGGAGTTGCAACGCATCTCGTTGTAAGTAGTGCCTCAAGGCACCTTCTCATGCGGGCGCAGCCAAACCCCTAGTGCCTCCTGCGCTAATACTGTAAACAGTTGCTGTGTTTCTGCATGGATGCAAGGTGTCTACAAAGGGCAACTATGTGTTCATGGACCAACTTTGGGAAGGCCATGCTGCATCTGCCCTCTCTTTCTCCTGCATGCGGCAGAGCCCCTCGCTGGCCGCTGAGTGCTCTATCACTAATATCTTAGTCTGATCATTCTGCTCCTCCTGAACTCCCTCCAGCCCCACATTTAGTTCGTCAAACTGGTGTTTTGCATTTTCCGGCCGTCCACGATACGTTCCCCGTCAATAGACTACCCGAACTTAACACGTGAGTGAAGTCTGTTACTCTGTTGAATTAAACAGCTTTGTCTACTTTGTCATTCAACACCTCCTTGACCAGCTTCTGGAGGGGTTTACATTCCGCCGTCAGCTCCGCAGACTTCATCTCCTTCGCCTAATCAATCTCGACGCCCTTCATCCTGTCCAGCAGGCATTGAATGAGTTATATCTTATAATTTTAAGGCTTTGGTTTTTCTCCGGGTTTTCTCTGGAGATGTGAGAAGGATGTCTTAAGTGCAGTTGAATTGCTGCAACGAGGAACGCCGAATAGAAGCCGATGCCGAACTGCCCAACTGTGGAAATATCTTCTCCTGGTAGCGGCACCTGCATAAACGCTCTGGTACTCGCACGTGCGATGGTCCCGAGGTTGTTCGCGAGCTTAACCTGACCAGCCTGGATGCCAGCGTGAGGCTGGGGGGAGGCAACCCTAATACTGAATTCCAGCCCAAGTTCACCCGCGGCTTAAAAGGCACCAGTAAGCACATGAAGTTTTTCCTGCATGCGATTGGTGAATCTTCCCTTCAGCACTTTTCCGATATCTCCTGGTGTCCATATGAAAGATTCTGAAGTGCTAGGTGTCGAAGGTAGAAAGCAATACTTTAGCTGCATATGAAAACCTCTCCACACCTAGTTCCGCTGCCTAAAGTAATAAAGATTAGCATGGCTAAACCGCCTCGCCTCTAGCCTCTGCTTCGCGTAGGTGGCCGCCTGTCGTCGGGCGCCATGCACAGCTCTGGAAAAGCGCAGGCACTGAGGCATCATCTTTCCCGCCAAATCTCACGTTACGACAAAGCAATGAAGCGTATCAGAGTTAAAGTTAGCTATGCGTGTCATCATGGTCCACGCATAGTGCCCAGTATATATTGGTCGTTCCAAGATGCTGCTGCGACAGATCTCTAAGGTTAGCCTTACGTGAAACGAAACCGTCAGCAACTGCGTCAGCTAGTATACCTACTGCTGCTGCAACTGCTACTACTGCAGCAGCTGCTATGAAGGGGGAAAGTCAGATCTATCCTTGTCTGTTTGAAGCTTGTGCGTGCATTTCTAGTTGGTTGCAGGCTACTGTGGAGCAAGGAAGTGTTCAACAGTTGGCTGGCTACAGTGTTAGTGCATGCATCAAAACGGGGCTTGGGTGGGCGTGCATTTGGTTTTGCCTTGCAGCACAAGGAGCAACAAGCAGTGCTGCAAGTGGTGACGCACCGCTTCCGCTCGTCACCAGCCCAGTGCGCTCTAGCAGCGCTGACCAAGGCGCCAGGAGGCTGCGAGCGAAGGAGAGCTCTCAAATTAGGTACTTTGACTCTATTGCAGCTCAAGTATTTCCTTAGATAACATCGGGGACACGGTACACTGCCCGTGCTGTGCTCCCAAAGGCGAGGCGCTCCACCTTTGGTGACTCGTAATAAGATTGGTTATTTCCTCTTTTGGTTTTGTACAATTGACGAGGACAGGCCCGGAGCCCATCTTCGTTGATGGGCTCACTGAATGTGTGCCTATGAGGCGTGTAGTTCCATGGGAGCCTACAAGCAGCTACTGCTAGCTGGGCGCCTCTCCCCCAGTGGCGCTTGCAGGGAATGCTGTTGGCCCCCCCGAAGGCAAACTTGCAGGGGGCCCGGGGGGGACCCCTGCTGGGGAAAATGCCGCAGGACCTGCTGCTGCCGAGCCTGATACAGTCGGTTGACTTGTGCTTCGAGGTCTTGAGTACAAGGGGGGCTTCATTGGGCTCTTTCCCTCTGCCTGCGCTTTCCGCGCCTTCGTCCCTAGCAAATCGGGCACACCGGCATGGGCGCTGATGCTGAAACCAACTCCATTCAATGTGAATTCAACTTGATTTGACTTCATTTTATCTAGTTGCAGTTTATTTTTAGCACGGGTATCATTTTTGTCAGAGTGGCTCCAATGTACTACTCGTCCGCAGCTTCGGCTGGCTTACATTTGATTTATTATGTCTTCCAGCCCGGCTCCGTACTATTCCAAGAACGACCATGTGCAATTATTTATTGCGTTTATTACAATTATTGTTTCTTGCGTTCTGGACACCCAAAGATGATTATTTCAACGTACGGAGAGGAGCAGCTTTCGCGCCTCGTCAGGCGGTAGCTTCGGCGGCGGGGGCTGAGCCTTCCCTGCAAAATGCGAAGATGTGAACAACAGCCGTTTAGCCATTCCTTTATTATTTGCACTTTTTGGGGTTGCAACAAGACAGAACAACGAGGAAGATAGGCACGAATTTGCAGCGGGGGCTTCCCGGACCCGCAGGCGACAGCTCACCCGCTGCCTCTTGAAGCTTCTGTTCCATGTCTGCAGTTCGGGGGGAAAAAGAAGGCAGGTGAAAGTTGTTTCATTGATAGTTGTTGTGTTATTAATATTAACAGAGATATTACAATTACAACAACAAATACTCGGGAGAAAACAAGGAGGAGACGAGCAGAAACCTTACCGTGCTGCATCTCCTCCTTCTCATCAATTTGCTCTTCCCTTTGGAGCTCCTCATCTTCTGCCGCCTATCGTTGACAATCCATAAACCCTAACCTATAAAGTCTAGACAATAGAATCCTTACTTCCGAGTCCGCCTCTGCTTGGGACTCCTCGTCTTCAGCAGCGAATGCATCTTCATCTACAACCGTTCTTTTCTTTGCTGTTCACGCTGTAGACAATAGTCATACCCCCGCTCACCTTGTTGGACTAGTCGAGGCGTTTCTAGCCTTTGCTGCTGTTGCTGATGCTGCAGCTGCGATGATTGCTGGCGTTTTTTTCCTTGAAAAAAGGAGGAGGCAGCAAATTACTGAACGCGAACATCCAAAGCATTCGTCTTATGACGAAAACGAATAGGCAATAAGAGAATAGAAGCACCTGTGTTTAATCTCGCCCCTTTTCCCTTCTTTCCTTTCTAAATCGTTTTAGGTCGTGAGTCGTAACAAATGAAACAAGACTCCCCCTTACCCGTTTGTGCTGCTTTGAACCTGCAGCAGCACCTGTAGCCGCCTCGTCTAAATACCATACAAGTTTAAGATGAACAAGTATGAATATGTATAACCACAACGACGTATGCTTATATATCTGTACGTATGCATGCATGTACACGCACTTATAACACACATGCATGCATTTTTTATGGGCGTGTGCAAGCCTTAACGAATTCGTATTCAAACACAGGTGCGCAACGTGAACGTGTGAAAGTATGTACATCCATATTTGCACTCCTACCTTCTCTGAGCTGGTCGCGTTTTTCTAATTCGTAGCCAACCCCGCTTGACGGGAGCATCGAAGGGTCCTCGAGTTCCCCATCTGCGTCTTGGGGCTCGATATGGGGATCAAACAGGCTATGGGCAACGACTGAATCTTCTGGGTCCTGCGTTCAAGTTTTCATCTTCGATAGAAAAACCTGGAGGGAGATTGTTTAACTATAACGGTTCACCATGTCGGGAATGTCGTATGGGGGCCCGCGTGCGCCAGCTGCAGTGTCAGGAAACGCGTGAAGCAAATATACAAGTGAACAGCAGCGTGCACCATGGGCAGTGTTGTTGCACAAACCTGCGGTGCGTCCTTCTCTTTCTGCATTTTTTGCCTGCTCTTCATCTGCATGGGGCGTGTAGTGATGTACTTCTAAGACTAAGAAAGGTGATCTCAACCCACCGTCCGCAAACGGGTGCAAAAGACGCGCGAGTCCTCTGGCGTGCAACTTTGAACTTTCTGCGCACGAAGGCAGAAAACAAACACCAAATAATCCAAAAATCAAACGCATTGCAGACTGCTGGATAATGGCTTTCTTCAGGTGCGCGAATGACGAGCGTGAGGAGTTTGCGCGCAAAACTTTCACAATCCCGCAGAACCAAGTGGGTGCACTTCTGCGGTGTATGCCCAGGTTTCTCGCGATTGAGGCAATATCTTGAGCAGTAGCTTCGAATGTTTCTAGTCACCTTATTCATTTACTTGATATTCAATGCTCATTACGACATGTGCTCTGCTAAAAAAAAACAAAAGTGGCATCGTCGCGAAACGCCCTTCTTTTTGCCTTAGGTTTCAACATAAACCCTAAACCGTAAAGCATTTCCCTAATCGTGTTCCAGTACATCTTATGGTGCTTTCCATACGAAACGTACACCATTAACGCCTCACCAGCATCTCGCCAAATGAAAAGCAGCTTACAAGAGCTTTCCCTACTTTAGCGATGAAGCACCGCTGGCGTATGGCGAGTTGAAGAATTGCAATATGGGTTTGATCCTCCCACCAAACGGAGAGAGACAAGAACCGTATGCAGGCCCCTTCCGAACAGCTGAAGTGGGCAAAATAACTGGAAGAGTTTTCAAACATTCTTGGGAAAAATCTTTTAGACCAAACGCTAACGGTTTCTGGTTCCTTGTTCAAGCTGGAAGGGAACATCCTCTCGGCTCGCAGATAAAGGTATGTGGAACCTTCTCTTCGAGCCAAATGGTGAAGGCCAGCATCGATACATAAGTTTACTTGGAATCCTTTTGCTTTGGAAGGCTTGAGGCGTCGCACTTGTCAGTGTTGATGTACCTTTGCGCCCTTGTTGCAAGAAGGGAACAGCGGCAGTCTAATCGTTCTAGTCGTAAATGCAGCAACTCCTTCCTTTTCTTTCTCTTCAGTCTTCCGTGTATCTAGAAGAAGAGAGAAAATGCGTAATATCATAATGAATACTAATTCCCTAAAACCAACCTAAGTCGCACTTGTGTGTGAGGGGCTTATACCATTTGCGCCCTTTAGTTATTACGTGCTTCATTTGCTTCTCTATTGATTTTGCGCCTCTTCTATTCCAGCGCTGAGCTAAGTAAATATGAACGGAAACAAAGATTGGTTTCTCTGTCCCAACGATTCAACGTGTGCATTCTTAGGGTCGAAAAAACCTGAGTCTAATTACACACGAATTTCATGTGAAGACAAGGAGAAACAAACAAATAGATCAAGTTCAGAGGATCCTTTTCTTCCCTTACCTCCGACCTCCACTTTTCTGTAAGGGGGGAACGAAAAGGAAATTATATTTCAGCAGCGATTTTAGTTTCGGTTCATTTCGCATCCATTTTTCATACTGGCGTGAATTTGGTGTTTGCATCCAACGTTTGCACTTCGACCCCAAACCATACGCTAAACAACTTCGTCATTCAAACTAGCGGAAAATATTCAAAAAAAAAGAACGCTGCGCATTCAATGCCAAGGCCGTTGCAACGCTACACTGCCCCAAACAGTTTCTGGGGTGTTTGCTTGCACTGCGGAGAGGGGAGAAAACAACGAAACAAAATATTTTGGCGAGCAAGCTACTGCCGCGACAAATTTTGCGTTCAAGCGCCGACAGCAGGAGAGCACCATATGCTTGCACCTGTAGCTACTGCAGCCTTGATATTGCTCAACTAGCTGTGCAAACAGGGCTCTATCCATAACATGCGAAAGCAAATATGTCAAAGAATAAAAACGCTACTGTGGTATTTACAATCCCCAAGCCCAGCATGCTGTTTCGTTCCGGTTAAACACCTCAAATATTGCTCAACTAGATCAACGAATGCTTCGTTCTAATAGTCTCTAATCCCAACGATGGCAGAAAAGGTAAAAACCAACACGAACCAGCAAGTATCGACAACAGATCGGCAGTCTGTGAGTCTTTCTTCTCTTCCCAACAAATTATGTTTGCTATATGAAACGGGTTTGTGCATCCCTTCTGCACGGAATCCTCCCCGCTTATTTTTGCCTGTAGCACAGCTGGACTTCGTAGATGGAACACAACATGCGGCTATTTCCGGTTGGCAATACCGCTTACTGCAGCCAATGAAGCCTCTAACAGAAGATCGAGAGCTCGCATAAGATTGTCAGTCTGAGCTTGCACTGCTCCAGCGTCAGGAGAAGCCGAAGTTTCCACTAATTGCAGGAAAATGGAACCCATAAACTTGTTTGGGAATAAAGATGCTGTTCTCTGGTTCTCTCTCGAAGCAACGCAAACAAACACCGGCTGTGCAAAGCACCAAATGCCGTTGGGTGAACAACGGTGGCGCTGAGGTCTCGGTGCAGGTATTTCGTTCGTGTGCTCTCCGTGCCTCTTTGTCTATTCTCAATCACAAACTAACAATTGCATTAAATGCGAAATTCAAACCTCTCTGGTTTCTGTTCGCCCATGAAAAGCACACGGCGCTCTCCAGCTCCGATCTCGCGGCGCTGCCGGGCGTTGTTGAAGCTCAGGCCAGTAGACACTACTCTAAAAAAGCAAACGGCGGACAGCTACTATAAAAAAGTGAAATCGAAAATTTGTTCGTAGTAAGAAGGAAACAAGTTTATACAACATTCTTGCCACTGGGGGCCACCTACCTGTTCGTCTACTCTGAGCTCGGCGCATACATGGACAGCAGCGGCCTCTAGGAGCACCAACTAGATGAAATTTTACTGCTTTTATCTCCCAGTTAAGCGTTGTCTTTTGAAGAATTTAGCAATTAATTGAATACAGATTGGTCATCTTAAAGAAAACAGGAAGAACGAGAGCTTTAGGCGGGTTAGGAACCCGTTTCTGCATGAGCGGCGGCGGCTGCTAATAACCGCAGCAACAGCGGCAGCCGCCTCCGCCCCCCGTCGTCTTGTTGTCTCTCTGGGGTGTATGAGCATGCGAAAACAATATTAACCACATGTCTCTCTGGAGGGGAAATAATATACATCTTCGTAATCTTCGGAACATTCTTTCTGTGTGGTGTTGTGCGTCGCCGCGCCGATTCCCGTTCAACAGGGTAGCCCGCGGGGAGATTGGCCGCGGCGCTTTGCCCCAGATTTTGTGTGATTTCCTGCACGTTTTGCTTCATAAGAAAGGAAAATGGCGAAAGGAAGTAAGTGAAATTCTTTTGAACACAGACATACTCAAGTTGTGCTGCGTGGGCGAACGCCTCAGTCGCGGCGTGAGCCGCGCCCTCAGCTGCATCGCATTGAATGAATCATACCATCCTCTTCCTTGCTTTCCACGGACACATATTAAGTAGAATTGGAAGGAACTGCTTCTCTTCGTATTCAGATGAAATCATTTGCTTCTTCTTTAGCAGCATCCCTGCAAAGCGCCGCCGCAGCCGACGGGAACGCTGCCGTGCTACCGACGCTCTCGTTGTTCATGTGATAAATTCATGATTATTTTCTGTTTCTCATTGCATGGATTGCATGCGTTACTGAGGTCTCACGTGTCCGTGCATCAACGGCTCTCTCGCTTCTTCTTTTGACTCTGTTAATTCGGGATGCTCAGGACTTGCCACTTGTGTGCATGCATTATTAGAGCTGTGCTTGCTGCTATGTGCGTCAAATGCATCTGTGTATAAATTCTCTCGATGATCGTATACAATGGTGTAGCTGCTGTAGCTGCATGCGTTGAACTTCTGAGTCGCATTCTGGGTTGTTGGAGCGAGGCTCTCGTGCACATTCAGATTGTAAAACAATATTTTCTGTTGTCACCAGCTGTAGTTTTATGTGGGAGTGGCTTCGTGATTTTCGTTTGCGTATTTCCTTGCTCGTTGTGTATATACATGCCTTCAGTGCCGTGGATATTGTCTTGCTGTTTGAAGCGTGTCTGTTTGCTTGCTTGTTCGTTGCACACACACTTGGTTAGTATTGAATGTTTTCCGTTACATCTTTGCAGTTTCTGCGTTTCTGTGCTTGTTTGCCTGCAGTTCGTTTCCTGTCGCTGGTGAAGCCAGCGATGTGCATCTTGCCTGAGGTGCATGCGCCTGAGCGTCGTGTTCCCTTCCGCGAAAAGGTGCTATGGACGTTGATATCTCTCGCTGTTTTTCTGGTTTGTTGCCAGATTCCTCTTTACGGAATCCGCACAAGTCGCAGCGCAGACCCCTTCTACTGGATGCGTGTTATCTTAGCTTCTAACAGAGGCACGCTCATGGAGTTGGGTATTTCTCCTATCGTCACAAGTGGAATGGTCATGCAGCTTCTTGCTGGTTCCAAGATCATTCAAGTTGACCAAAGCCTCAAAGAAGACAGAGCCCTCTTCCAAGGGGCGCAGAAATGTAAGGAAATGCAGCACGAAACACGCGGAACACCGACACCGGCACCACTTGTGCAGCTCCAGCTGCGCTTGAACTTCTTGGAAGTTTGGTCGACCTGCTTATGTTGTTTGCCTTGGGACTCGTCTGCTCTTGATGCTTGTCTTGTTCTGAGTTCCAGTTTAATGCCACTATGCTGCACAGAGCTGGGGGTGTATCGTTGTTAGCTCGTGCTCAGCATGAATTTTTTTGAATCGTTCTTGCCGTGTGCTCGCACGTTTGTGTTCAGTTTGTCCTCTTTCAGCCTCTCTTTGCCATTCTAAAGTATTGAACCAGCGATGTATATATTTATATATATCATTTTTCTTTGTTTTGCGCAGTGCTGGCGTTGCTGATTACCATCGGAGAGGCGGTGGCGTACGTCATCAGCGGCATGTATGGGCCGATATCAGAAATCGGAGCAGGTAAAGCATTCCTTTTTTACAAGATAGAAAGATATAAGAAGAAGAATAAAAGGTCTTTTAGAGTTCAAGTGTGAAATTGAGATGGAAATGATGGTGGTGGATACTGAACAGATACTGAGTAGCTGTTTGCTCTCCTGTCTTTGGGTTTGCTGCTTCATGAGGTTTGCTGTATGAATGTACGTGCATATCCACGAACTCCTAATGAGACGAAACAATATTGTAGTTAAGCTGATGCGGTTTCACAGTACTTTTGACCCACGTATGCTTTGGGAAAGTCTCCCTTTGCATCTGCAATGTACAAGTGCAGCGACATACCGATTACTTCTTTCGGTGCTGCATGCGGCTCGTGGCTTATTGGGACTGGCATCAGGGGAGAGTAGGGGGTGCATTTGAAAGAAGAAGTCTCATTTACTGCAATGAGATGCCGGGGTTTCGTGTGGGTGTTTGGGGTGTACAGGGAGCGCGTTGTTGATTATTCTTCAGCTGTTCTTCGCCGGAGTTGTTGTCATCATTTTGGACGAACTGCTGCAGAAAGGCTACGGCCTGGGAAGCGGTATTTCCCTTTTCATTGCGACCAACATTTGCGAGACAATTGTGTGGAAGGTACTTCATTTGGAGTTTAGGGCATAGGGTTAGATCTTCGGGGTTGCACGTTCAAGTTGATATGCATTGAATGCTTTTTTTATTGAAATCACACGCACAGACGCAGAATAACATCGTATTTGCTCGCTTGTGCCACGTGCGGCGGACGTTGGATGTTGGTTTGGTTGCATTGTTGGTTTGTTTCCCGTTTGTTTATTTCATCTGCTTCGTTCCTCTGTTTGTTTGTATGTTTGGCGTTCAGGCGTTCAGTCCCACTACGATAAAGACGGGAAAGGGAACTGAGTTCGAGGGAGCTTTGGTTGCTCTTTTCCACTGTCTGTTTACGAAGAGCACCAACATGGTGGCATTGAAAGAGGCATTTTATCGTTCGAACGCTCCGAACATCACATCTTTGCTCGCAACGATTTTGGTGTTTCTGATTGTCATCTACTTCCAGGGTTTCCGCGTTGATCTTGCAGTGAAGTATCAACGCGTGCGGGGACAACAGGGCAATTACCCGATTAAGTTGTTCTACACCAGCAACATTCCAATTATCTTGCAGACGGCGTTGGTCTCGAACTTGTATTTCCTCTCGCAGCTGCTGTACAGACGCTTCAAGAACAACGTGTTGGTTAATCTCCTTGGGCAGTGGCAGGAGGTTGATGCAGGAGGTCACTCTGTACCTGTGGGGGGTATTGCTTACTACATCTCTCCCCCAGGTTCCTTCGGCTCTATTCTTGATGATCCTATTCACAGCTTCGTCTATATCACCTTCGTCCTCGTCTCCTGCGCACTCTTCTCGAAAACTTGGATTGAAGTCTCGGGCTCAAGCTCCAGAGACGTCGCCAAACAACTCCGAGATCAGCAGATGGTCATGAAAGGATACAGAGATAGCTCGCTCGTACAGGTATACAACTCACTCAGTTTATGATGCACTTAGTACATTTATACATCCATATATATATATATATATATGCCAGTGCAAGAGTATGTATTATATATGCCTGTTCTTTTGCGCCGACAGTGCATACGCTGATGCATATATATTTTTGTGCATGCAACAAAACGAGTGCGTGTTTTGTGTGGGTGTGCATGTCTCTGTGGATTTAAGCCTGTACGTATAAGGCTAATCTCATTCATATTTGTTGCTCTCGTCGTGCTTACACTCCGTACTTTCAGGTGCTGAACCGGTACATTCCCACTGCTGCTGCTTTCGGAGGGATGTGCATTGGGGCGCTGACGATCATCGCTGATTTCTTGGGGGCCATTGGAAGCGGCACTGGTATTCTGTTGGCTGTGACAATCATCTACCAGTACTACGAGATGCTAGCGAAGGAGAAGGAGCAAGGTGAGAGAGAAGAGCCTGGGAGCAACACGATGGGTGCACGTTGTACATAACGGTTTGTCCTTGCCCCTGTGCTGTGACACCTGAGATGATCATACGAGACTGCGCTACTGTTCGATTTAATTTGTAAATTCATTCTTGGCAGCTGCTGATGAGGATCCTGTCTGTAGTGAGGGGTGGGGTTGCTGTTTCACTGGGAGTTAAGTGTCTGCCGTTCGTAATAAACAAGTCGCAGCACCGAGTTGGCTGTACACTGCAGCTTTACACTGTCCATGTTGCAAATTGTTGCTGCAGGTAACTCGATCTTCTAAGCGCCGTTTGACCCGGCAAGAGGAAGACGATCACAGAGAAATGCATTAATTTGGAGACGATGAATAAAGGCTATTCAGCAGGGTGGTTACCTCTCCGTGCGTACACCCCAGCGTGGGGTGTATGCGCAGGTGGTGACAGGCGTACGTGCGGCGAAGGGATCCAAGTGTTAGAGGGAACTGGCCAGTAGCAAAGTTGATTTTGGTGATAAAAAACTAGATGGAAGAACAGAGCAAAGGAAGGAGGTTAAGCGGGGGGTGGAGGGTGGGGAAGGAAGCCACAAATGCTGCGGCGGTGTGTATTTGCGAGAAAAGATGATTGTGTATAGAGGATTGCAGCGTAACAATGCAATAGCAGATAATATATTAGTGTATCTTTTATTGTATAGAGAAGGGTTACAAGTGAAACGAGCACTCAAAACACCCCAGACACTCGTTTTGTTGCGGCGACGAGCTGTACAACAGGCAGATGGCGTGAAGCTTGTGCACAACCGAGAGAATTGAATTATATCTCTCTTCGTTTTCTTCATTGAAATATGAAGAAAATGAAAGGGATGATTAGGCTGCGACAAAATTGCATTGAATGAGAGGAATGAGGTGGAAGGGAAATACCAGTATGCAACGATGCGGCTTCCTTGGTGTATGCACACCAGCTGTCTGCGTCTAATGAACGAGTGCGTTCTCATCGCCACCAAACAAACCTGACGTCTTTTTCACAAAAGCATTTGATCTGATTTGTTGTTGTCTCAACGACTAAGATGCAAACAAGAGAGTCGTGCATGCTCTCATCGTGGCCGAAGTAGGGGCACTGTAACACCACATACGGAGGAGCTGTATATGCTCAACACACCAAACAGTGAGAATGCAGTTGTTAAACATGGGAATAGGCAAACCACATTAGATGAGGTGGGGGAGAATTGCACGAACAAGCCGGAGGCTTCGTTACGACCGCATCACTCTGCATGCATTCAGATGCTCGTCTATATATATATAATTTAATGTAGAGGTAGAAGCCGACGAATAGTTCTCCGGGAGTAGTTGGTCGAAGAGACGGCGTTGCTGAACGCCAGAAGACGGCCTGCAGGACAACGAAGATGGCCACAAAGAGGCAGCGATAATCAGACAGGAACTTGCATGAAGCTTGCTTTTCACTCCCATTGTCTCACCTCCACGCCAGTACCGTGTCACCTAGTTGTATCAGTGAGACAACTTTAATTAATCATATTGAATGCCGAGTTAGTATATCAGGCGGTTTGGAATTACATGCCATACAACTGGGGGAGGTGCTTCACTAATATTAGCAACACCAACAGATGCTGCAATGGCTGCATGGCTCGTGGCGCTTCTTTAGGGTTTCATTCGGACCCTCAAGGGAAGCCCCGTGCGCCAGCCACACGATAGTAGGGAGGCTGAGAGGAAAGGAACACAATGTATTTTCCCTCTCCTTCTCCGGGTTTGTTCTCGGCTTCTGACAGTTTGTGCAACGGAAAGTGAAGTACTTTGTCGCTTCATGCTGTCTCTGCTTCGCTGTTCATCTACATTCTCAAGTCCCCTGCCGTCATGTGCGTGGGGGCTGAAACACTGGTAAAGAAGCTTCACGCAGGTTCTTCTGTCTAAGTAACCCCCTCTAGTTATTATATATTTGCAAGTGAAACACAGATTCTTAGAAAACGCTACAGACAGCCGAAGGAACGCCGGTGTCAGCCAATGGACTGGCATGGGAGGCTCCAGCGTTGTGGCATTCATGCGATCCTACCTGAAAAAACACTTTTCATGAGAGAACATAATTCATTTAGGGTACAATTAGATATTGATATTGCAAATAAACGCCAGTCGTGTGGTTTTTCTGCACTATTTGTTCGCTTTCTCTGGCCCGATTCCAGACGTTTCGCGGAGTGGCTTGGGGCTCTCGATGGGCTTGACCTGATGGTCGTTACAACGAGTTGATAATCGTTAACGTTTCATCGTTGTTATTTAGATTCAAATTGATGAATTTGACTTCAGATGCAACTTTTCATTCGGTGGATCGACGGCATCAAACCCGCGTTCAGCACCGCTAGTCAGCAAATACCTGCACGCCCAGTACATGTGCAGACCGTCGATATAGCATCAGCCTTTTCTGATTTATTGCTTGTTTTCACTGAATTTGCATTGTTTCTTCCGTCGCTTATACGTACATATTTCCGCAAACTAGCGCCTTGGTCCCACACAACCCGCCAGAGCTGCGTCGCGCGCTCAACTTGCATTTCAAGAGAAGGGCAAGGAGTTATGCATTTTTTCCCATCATCTGATAGATCTAAACAATAGAAGGTATCTTCCATCTCACCCCCTCATGGCATCAAGCGCCCTGAACAAGGGCTCTTGGAGGCCGCCAGTGGCTCCTGCGGCTGGCGCAGCACAGCGAGGCCTGGGTTATATTGTGCAGCAGCAGCAGCAGCATCAGGAGCAAGAGCAGCAGCAAATGAAGCAACAGCACCAACTGCAGCCGCAATACAGAGTAAGAACTGCAGCAGAGGATGACGCAAACACCCGCATCTCTGACGCAGAGGCAAAGATCGAAGTCACAGCGCAGTGCAGGTCCAGAGATGGTAAGCCCTCATAGCTGCTTCTGCTCCGCCCATCCTACTCCTGCACCTGCACCCTAAACTCTAAACCCTGAACCCTTGCAGGAGTGTTGGGTTTGCATGCGCAGAGGTCTTCCAAGCGCTGAAAGAGGCCATACAATTGCACCCTGTTTTATCTCGAAAGCACCGGGAGCTTCTGGTAGGCCCTCAACCTAAACCCTTAAACCCTAAACCCTAAACTCTAAATAGTAAACCCTGGGACCTTGTCAGAAATCCCTGGACCGAAGCATTCAGCCGTAAACCCTAAACCGTAAACCCTAAACCCTAAGACCTAGCAGTCCCTGACACAGGCGGCATCAGAACAAGGCCGAGGCCTGTCTGTTTTGAATTTTGTTTCTTTTACTGCACTGACGACAGCCTGTAAACCCTAGACCTTAGTCCGTAAACCTCTGCATTTCTTTGTTTGTCTTCTGCATAAATGCCTTTTGCATGCGCCTACTGGGGCTCAGGCAAACACCGTAAAGGCGATGATTGCTGACTGCCGTTCTTCTTATTACATGATTTCTGGAGCTCATGCAGCTTTGCAAGCTGCGGGTCCGGCATGGCAGGGGGCTCGCGAGAGAGGTGCTGCTGTTGCTGCTTGTCGTGCTGCTGCTGCTGCTGCTGCGGGGCTCACTATGGCGGGTATGTCCCCTAAAGAAGCAGCAGAAACTGCAGCAGACACAGCAGCATCAAAAGGAGTGGGTGCAACTCGGAACCTTGTGCCTCGATACAAGCTGCAGCAGCAGCGGCGGCACAGTGCTGCAGCTGCTGCTGCTGCGCTGCACCGGGCTCAAGCAGCAGCAGCAGCAGCAGCAGATGATGACAGTTCCTCTGTGGACCCAGAAGGCGACCCATGCAAACCTCTGCCCCACAGGAGCAGCAGCAGTAGCAGCAATATGGACAGCAGCAGCAACGACAACGACAGCAGCAACAGCAACGACAACAACAACAGCAGCAACAGCAGCAGCAGCAGCACCACTACCACCAGCATCGCGCCGGACTCCGCAGCAGCTGTGAGTCAAGGGATGCCGATCCCGGAGCATCTTCTCGATACAATTCTTTCTGATGTTGTTTTACCTTTTTCTGAATACTTCTGCAAGAGATTAGATGCCTTCTTAAGACAACTCATTAATGAAGTGCGGTCACTCGCAAACAAAATCCATAATATCGTCAACCGCTCACTCATGCCTGCTGCAGACTCCACGGTAACCCAAACCCTAAACCCTAAACCCTAAACCCTAAACCCTAAACTCTAAACTCTAGCCTTTAAACTCTAGTATACGTATGCTCATTTGAGACAAATTGCAAGCGAATTCAGACAGTGCAGAGGAGAATGCTTCTACAAACCCTCTTTGTAAAGGGTCCTTGACCCCAAACCCTAAACCCTAAATCCTAAACCCTAATCGTATACACACACTTCGCAGTGTTTAGAGTTTAGGGTTTCTTGCTCCCCCAGGCTTCAGGCCGATTGAGTAGATATGAAAGCAGTTTTCTTCACCACAAGTTGTTGTTTGCTTTTCAGGGTTTAGGGTTTAGGGTTTAGGGTTTAGGGGTTTCTTGTTTCGGCTGCAGGAGGCGAGGGTCTTTTACTTGCAACTCAACGCAGATGTATCCCGATATGCATCTCAGGTATGCGCTGTGTGTGAAGGCGGCTAAACCCTAAACCCTAAACCCTAAACCTCACTCACTTGCAATGCGTACTCAGCTGTTTGTTTACTGTTGTCTTTGTTTTGCGTTTGTAGTTGGTTATTTAGGCTGTTAAGCCCTAAACCCTAAACCCTAAACCCTGAATTTGTGCTAGCTCCTCCATTGACATGTTCGTGCATTCCTTTGCCCTTCGGTTTATTTGCTTTTGCAATTCAATTTATATTTTTCTTCAGTTTATTTGCTTTGTTTGTTTGTTTGTTTGTTTGCCTGTAGTTGTTTGTTTGTTTTTTTTTCTGTTTATCTTTTTGTTCGTTCATTCATTCATTCCTTTGTTTGCTACTTTGTTCTTATCTCTTCGCCTTTATTTGTTTCTTTATTCTTTTATTTACTAGTTCGTTTAGGGTTTAGGGTTTAGGATTTAGGGTTTAGGGTTTTTAGGTGTACGTACATTGCGTTTAGGTGGTAACGGATGCTGACGAGTGTCAACAGCTGCGAAAGCAGAGTTTAGGTTTTTATAGATCTGCGTTGGAGTTAATAAATGAAAATGAAAAAGATAAAAACAAAGAAAAACAAAAAAAGAATAGCTGCCATACAAACGAAGAAGAAACACAAGAGGTGCCCTTGTCAGTCAAAATGGGGCTCGTACTCAACTACGCAGGTCTGCTGCTGCTGCTGCTGTTGTTGCTGCTGCTGCTGCTGCTCCTGTTGCTGCTGCTGCAACTGCTGCTGCTGCTGCTGTTGCTGCTGCCGTTGCTGTTGCTTTTGCTGTTTCTGCTGCTGCTGCTGTTGTTGTTGCTAATGCTGCTGTTGGAGTTGCTGTTGTTGCTTCTGTTGCTGCTGCTGTTGGCTTCTATTACTGTTGTTGCTGCTGCTGCTGTTGGCTTCTATTGCTGCTGTTGTCTTGGTTGTCTTGGTTACTCTTGTTGCCTTTTACTGCTGCTTTTGCTGCTGCAGTTGTTGTCATTGTTATTGCTGCTGCTGAGGCTGCTAAGGATGCAGTAGCTGCTTTGATTTTGCAGGCGTAGCTGTTTTGTCCGATGCGGACGCTGTGTTGCTCCTGCTGCTGCGGCTGCTTCCACTGCGCTGCTGCTGCTGCTGTCATTGTGCTGCTGCTGCTGTTGCTGCTGTTGCTGCAGTGCTGCTGCATGACGAACCCAACGGAGTTCAGCCAGCCATTGCCGCTCTGGCAGCGCAGTTTAGAGAAGCAGTGGAGAACGTTGTGCACATTACGTACGTGTTTCAAACCCTAAACCCTAAACCCTAAACCCTAAACCCTCGAGTGGCAGCAATATTTTGTGTGGCATTGCGAAGCATCATACCCAGTGTAAGTTTCGTTGTTTCGTACTAATATTATTCTTATTCTAAAATGTTATTTTATTGTTTGTTTCTTTAATTATACTTATATTACTCTGTTTTTCATATTGCAGAGATGCAGAAGAAAGCAGAAGGGTTATGATGGTGCTGAGTCTTTTAAGAGGCAATGTCGAGGCTTGGTGCTTAGGTAATAAACAACAACAAACGAATAAATAAATAAATAAACAAACAAATAATCAGATAAACAAATAATAAATAACAATAAACAGCAATTTTTGCTTCTTAACTTGTTCCTGTTTTGCTGTTTGCTGTTTGCTGTTTTTGTTGGTGGTGTTTGTTTGCTGCTTGTTTTTATCTGCTGTTTTTATATATTTTCATGTATTATAAAAGTATATATATATATATATATATATAATGAAAAATATATTTGCTGTCTATGCATGCATGCAGCAAATACTAAAAAACAGTGCAAATTGCTAATAAAATAATAATTGTATTATTAACATAATAATAACAATATTATTATTATTATTATTATTATTATTATACAATGATAATAATATGATAATATTAATAATATTATTATCAATAGATGACGGTAATAATATTATTATAATGTAATAATAATAATAATCATAATAATAATGCGAATATAAGTGTTAATTGCGGTGTACACTGACGAAGAATATAAAAGAAATACAATAAAAGTAATTCAAGAGTAAACGTTTTTGGTTTTGTTTGCTGCAGAGACAGGAAGAGACGACTCTGCGTCTTTGTTGGGTTTAGATGACTCCTCGGGTTTATTATAATTATATTTATTTTTTTATCTCATAAAGAGAAGCAGCAGATATTTTTAACGAACAAAGAAAGAAGAAAAACAAACTACGAGAAAATAGAGTATTTATATACATGTGTGTACACCCGGCATATGTATATAATACCTTAATTCATATATATGGTAGATTATATATATATAATATATATATTATATACATGTATATATATATATATTATATACATGTATATATATATATATATATGTATATATATCTATATGTATATATATGTATATATATATATATATATTATATATTATATATATACACGTCATGTGTACATTACACGTTTATATATATATATATATATATGTATATCAGCGTGTTAGTTTATATGTATGTATATATATACACCCGGTATAGGTATACTGTACTTGCATATATATATATATATATATACATATATATGTATACATGTTAGATGATATAAATATACACCCGGTATATGGATATTAAATTTATCTATATATATATAATATATATATATATATATATACATATATGTGTTAGATAATATATATACCCGGCATATGTAAATTATACTTATATATATATATACATATATATATATATATATATA